TGCAGGGTACCCCCTGTATGATCGCAACCCAGCAGGCTTGGCGCCATACTAGGCTTCGGCAGCAGGTGCAGGCTGAGTCTGGGAGGTCGGTCCTGAGTAGATCGGCACCTGATGGCTTTGGTGCTCGGTGGTTGATGTGGCGTGGTTTGCATTTGCATATAAGTGATCTGCATAGATGTGTTTGGTGTTTTTGTTGGGTTCCTTTTGGGGATCCACTTGAGTGGTCCAAGAGTGCATCCGTAGTCATGATCAACTACGTAGAACCCGGAGATGTCTAGACAATGCTAGAGGAGTTCGTCATGTTCTCAAGCATGGTTCAGATTCAACTCCAGCAAGCCTCGGCACTTGGGACTCGTCCACCCAGATCAACCAGCGTTGTAACGTCAAAACGTGCGACGGTGAGGACCCGAGCGTCCCGAGCGTCGCTTCAGGACGGAGCCGGACGGGCGAGTCCGAGTGCCCGGACGGGCGAGTCTCTCCCGGGCGAGTCGTCCTCAGGACAGGCGAGTTTTGTGCAGTCAGCGCAAGCCAAGCCTGAGAGAGGCGACAAATCTGCCAGTTTTCTGCACCCTGTTGGAATCCCTGAGTATACGCTGGCATCCTGGCCTCAGTGACTTCCAACCTGGACAGCAATAGGTGAAAATTGACACCAGGTGATGACCGTTTAAATCCAGCACCAAAGCCCAGTGCGGCGATTCATGGTGCTTTTTCGACCTCTTGAGATGCAGATATCAGAGCCAATCTTTATGCACTCCAAATGCCTGATCCCCATGGTTCCTTGGAACCAAGTCGGCACCGGTTGTGACCAGGGGTTGATGATAGCTTTTCCTCACTACGAACGTACTGAGAACAAAATGCAGTCCTGAAATACGACCATTGTTCTTTTTCATGGGCCGTTCTCCACTTCCATGTTAGTGTTTCCCAGCACTACCTATAACAATAATTACTAGTAATACTCGTAATAAACATATAAATTATACTATTGCATTGTATCATGTTATAGTATATTATATTACACTATTATATATATGGTACCCCCCAACAAAAAAAAAAAAATCATCAATTTTACTGGTATTTACGCAACTTGTTGATATAAACAAGCTAATTAAAAAACAAAAAAGTTAAAATGCACTTTACAATGACAACCAGCAACAACACAACAAACTAACACAACCAAAAGAACATTGAAGAGAATGTTTGGCTCAGCCTCAAAAGATGGTTTGTTGTTTTAATTGTTTGGTTTTGAAATACAAAAACCACGAACCCTTGTGCTTTGTTTGCCACGGTTTATGGTTAAAGAAGGCAGGCTACAACCATGTTTTTTTGTTTAATGATTTGCTATGAGTAAAACACTATATATAATATTAGAAAAATACATTCTTTTTGTGTGTTTTGGTAGTATTCTAGTACAATAAACCTGCAAACACACAAAAACATGTTTTTTTGCTTTTGGATTTCATTTTAAAAAAAAACAGCACAATGAAAACCAAAAAACATATTTTGAGGCTGAACCAAACATTCTCCTCAAAGTTTTGTTTTTGCTTTTTGGTTTTGTCTGTGCTTTGGTCCTTTGGGCTGTTGCACAACCTGTATATTTTTATTAGAAGTTGACTTAGGTTTGAATTCGAAAATAATCAGTTTTTCATTGAAATGTAAAAGTTTATTGTATTTCCTATATAACTCTATTGAACTCTAATGTAATTACTATTTAAGTCTAACTTAATTCTATTTTTAAACTTGCAAAGTCGAATTTGAACCTGGTTGAATTCAAAAAGGAATCTATTGATTTCTAATTGAACTTTTAGTTTCAATCTCCAATTTGATCTTAATTCAGTTCTAATTGAGTTTGCATTCAATTCTAATTTAGTACCATTGTAAATGTCATTTAGTTTTTAATTCTCACTCAAGTCTAATTCTAATTCATGATTACAGTAACTGACTTCTAATCGAGCTACAGGTTAAGCAATTCTATTTCAATTATATCTTAATTCCAATAAACTTCAAATTTAGATCTAATTCAATTCTATTTTAAACAATTGCAATGTTGGTTTATTTTTTACACCAAAATTGACATGACTTCATAAAAGTAAAGCGTTTGATGATCATTTATATAACTCTATTGAATTTTAATTGAATTACTATTTAAGTCTAGTTTAATTCAAAATGTTGAATTGCACATTCGATTTTGAACCTGATTGAATTCAAAAAGGAATCTATTGATTTATAATTGAAGTTTAGTTTCAATCTCCAATTTGATCTTAATTCAGTTCTAATTCTAATTTAGTACCATTTTAGATGTCATTTTGTCTTTAATTCTCACTCAAGCCTAATTCTAATTCATGATTACAGTAACTGACTTCTAATCGAGCTGCAGCTTAAGCAGTTCTATTTCAAGCATATATTAATGCTTGTCCAATTCTATTTGAAACAATTAAACTTTAATTCAATCTTAGTTAAAACAACGTAATTCAAATCTAATGTAAGTCTAATTTGCTTTTAACTTATCTCGAAGTTAGTTCTAATTTATATAGTTGTATGTCAATTTAATATAGTTTATATTTCAATTTATTTTGTAATTAACGTTTAGTTCCCGCTAGTTTAAATCTTATACAATAATTCAATTTTAGTTAAGTTATGTTTTTACAAATTAATTTTGATTACTTCTAATTTAATTCCAATTCGTTTCTAGTTCAATGCAGAGTTATTTCTAATTTAATGCGAATTGAATTATCATTTAATTATGACTTTATTCTAGAGAGAGGGGTTTGCTGGGGGTGCGATTTAAAGAAAACCATCTTTAAGAAAACAACACATAGACCCCACTGCAGACCCCATGCCCTGACCATAGCCACTCTGGGGACCTAGGTCCCTGCAGTTTTTGAAATTTGGAACTTTGGAGGTCCCCCACAGTTCCAAAGTTCCAAAACTGCAGACCCCATGACCTGACCATGGCCACTCTGGGAACATAAATTTGTGCAGTTTTGGAACTTTGGAACTTTGCTAATTACTTTGGTAGCCGAGAGCAGGTGTTTTTTTTTGGGGGGCAGTTGCCCAGTGCTTACATGTCAGGAGAGCCGCCAGCTGTCGTCCCTCCGCAGAGCGCGCAGAGGGAGGAGGACGGCTGATGGTGTGACTTGCTGATATGGACGGCTGGAACGTAACTTGGTGAAAGTGGATGCTCCGATGAATGAATGTTTTCTTTCATTTAGATATATAAAAATAGACATTTTTGACCTGATCGGTACGTTGCTTTCCTTTACCCCCCCCCCCCACACACATGTTACGCCGTGGGGCCATGAATAGTCATGGATTTCCATGATTGAACTTGTCGGATTCTCGCGACCCGCTAAAAGTCTGCTAACTACTTGGCACACTTGGATACCAGTCTACCAGTCTCGGTTTTTGGGGTACGTTCGAATTTCTTCCTTCAACCAGCATTCGTAGTGTGTACCCGGTCCGACCGAGTGCTTGACAAACACAACTGTCCCGAGCTGTGGCTCTAGGATCCGAAGCCCGTGGAACGCACGTGAGCCTGGCTCAGGGTTTGAAACAGACTGGGAGGGGAGGGTTTTGTGTTTGGTCGAAGCATGTCGCAACCTGTTTTGTGCTCATCCTTGGACTGCACTAGGAGTCCAAGTAGAGTATGGGAAGAACTACACCATGGCACCTGGAGTGACTGGAAAATGGCACCTATAGTGAATAGTGCACCTATACTGGTAACTCCACACAAAGAAACACACCTTCCAACTGAGAATAGCACTGAGAATAGGACTGCGAGGCATTGGTATGCAGTATACTGATCTTCCCCACGCTCAAGAGCAACATCAACAGCAACCCAGACATGTGACAACCGCAGCCGCTCTGCAGTTGGCCGCGAATCCGCTCGCCAGGTTTGGCTTACGCACCCTCTTGGAGGCGCTTCAGGCGAAACCGTGCACAGTCGTCTTTTGAGGCACTCCAGCGTTCGAACATGCCAGCGTATACAGCGGGTATGTATACTGTATACAGACAGGATCAGAGAATATCGAAGTATTCATGGTTCTTGAGAGTAGACTTAGAGTCATAGTTGTGGTTGACGCGGGTTCAAGACTTGACGTGAAGTGGACATTGAGTATGATGCAGGATGACGGAACTTGTGAGTTCCGGAATAATTCTGGTGGAACAGTTGGCTGCTGCCGGCCCCTTTTGCACTTGCAGGGGACATGGCCGTTGCTGGGGATGGGTAGTCAAGGACCCCCTTCAATTACTGTACATAATTTGATGAGTAGCTGGACCTTCCAAGGTTGCATAAATGTTCATGGCAACCACGCAAGATATTGCAATCAGGACAGACATTCCATTCTGATTTAACGGAATTTTAAGCTAGGACCCTCTAAACCTTCCACAATCCATCCCCACACTGCGGCGGCGGATGCGGTTTTTAGTTGCCGACTGCTACTTTTCCTTCGACGTGCAGAACAGGTACTTGTTCTGGAGCCCAGGTACATGATTTGTTCTCGCTTTGACCCTGAAGACTTGCTCTTTTGGCTCTGAGTTCGGCCGCATCCGCCCAAGGCGGCAAAGAGGTGGCCCTTGCGTCTCAGAGTCTCCAACGGTACAGGAGCCTGGATGGTGCATGAACAAAAATGCCAGTTTGTGGAACCTCCAAGGATACCACAACAAAGCTTTTGACGCACAAAGGATCTTTGGCTTGGAAGACACACCGCGGAGCTTGAAAGTGTGTGATTCCAACTTTTGACTTGCATTTTGACAGCGTGGCATTGCCACAGTTCCAGAGTCCTCCCAACAAGTCGATGGCAGACCCAAAGACAGCTCCTGCGACATCTCGATCATTCTTTGAATTTTTCAGAGATGCCAGAGAACCATCCCCAGCTCTAGGTGCTGGGAACTTTCCTTAAGCGTGCTTGATCTACGCGAGGGCTCCATCTACCTACCTCCTTTCGGAAGGCTTATAGACCCGGCATCCAAGGTCCAAAGGCTGCCCCAAAAGACCTGCGAAACGGAAGGTAGTTGGAGCCCTTCATGAGAAGATGATTTGCTCCGGATCGCCATGACGGCTGTCCCCGGACGCGTGACGGATCGCCATGGAGGATGATCCAGAGCAGGTGTTTTGGTGGAGAAATCATAGCTGGAGGGTTTCCACAGGTGCTTGGGCTGTTTGCCCCTATAGTTGCATTGGGCTGTTTCTTCACCAATATTGGTGAATGGATTGTTCGGGATGAGGAAACCCTGGCAAGCGTACTCCATTCGAACTTGTTTATATTTAAGTGGCTGCGCCATGACTGATTTTTATGTTGAAATGGAATATGCAAGTGGGATCAGTTAAGCACGTAGGCAACAAAAGTCGTGTTTTGCCTATGTCGGGTTGCTGACCAATCCAAACTTAAGGCATACTATGGATCTTTGTGGAGCACCAGCCAAGGCTTAAACGACTTGACATACTCCCCAGCTTGCATGATTCTGGAGTTTGACGACTGAACACCTGGAGCGGGATTATATTCTCTAGCAAAGTGCAAGTACTTCAATGGATGATACATATAGTACAGGTCATACTCCTGCCGCTCACAACTCCCGCAAGAATTGATTCCGGTGCTTGAATTACATACACGACTGAAGGCCTGAACCTTCAAAGAGCCCTGAAGTTGTAAATCTTCTGGAACTACTGCATTATAGGCCCTGGCCTCCCACCGAACGAACAAAGCTTGATTTGTTTTGAGCAGTCGAACACATCCTTTGTAAAAACACTGGTGATTGGGCGAACACGTGTGAAGAGTGAACACCATGAAATCAAATTGGTACCTATTGAATCCTCTTGGTCCTGGTTCGAGTCCAGGGGACTTCGTCAGGATCTCTCCATCTGGCACTGAGGATCTCTCCTTGGTGGACGTGGATGCCGACAGCTTCAGAGTCCTGCAATCGCACCCCTTTTGCCGAACCTTGCGAAATCAGGCGTGGCACCGGCCCGCCGCGACGAATAAAGCCGGTTTGATCAGACCTCCATGGAGGGTTTTTCAGAAATCGATCCACGAAATGACAAGGTGACCAGTTCATTCCATGTCATTCTCTTCAATGAACCGGACATTTGAATCGCTTTCCTGGTCCATGTCGTTTCTCTTCGTTCGTTCGCTTTCCTGGTGTGGCTACAGCTATCAGCTCCCGTGCCGATCTGAGGTCGTTCTGGCGATCTCCCGGGCCTCCAAGCAATGGGCCTTCACCACCAAGGGTCGCATCATCATCAACGAGAAGGTGCCCCGGGGGCCGAGCGAAGGCTGAGATGGGAGGGTAGATGGCACCAACCGGGGTGTTAAGCATCCTTAAGCTCTGTTTGGGTGGGTGGTAGAGGAAAGGCCATGGAATCTGAAAGAGCTTTGAGTAGTTGGTGACTTGAGAGTAGAATTGACACTTTGAACTGCTTACAACAATCGTCGAAGTGGATGGCATGGCCCCTTGGATGACCATTTCCTCCACAAACAAGGGGTTTTGCTCTTCCATGTTCCGGAGTGTAGCATATGTAAGTGTGCGGATTGCGCGGATTCGTTGGATGGTGTACTTAAAAAATGCAGTAGGCCCTCCCAAGGCGTACTCCTGTTGGGCGAGAAGGATCCTTTGCCGAATGGATGAATCCCCACTCAGAGATTGTTGTTTTTGTTCCAGAATGTTCGATGTCTCTTCGCCACGTACCCTGCCTGGCTGCTGAGCAACCACAGGGGGTGCGACAGTTGCATGCAACAACGGGTCCAAAGACTACATCAACACTGGTCAAGGTCTTGAGATCGCCAAGCCACCACCCAAATCACACATATGAATATATTACATAACCTCAACAACTCACATCCCTGGTCCCTCCTCGTCCCGAGCTGGATTTTGGAGGTGTCCCAAAGCCGAGGATCATTGGGGGGTCCCAAACCGAGGTGAAATCCGAGAACTCTGGCCTTTGGATGCTCGGTTTGATCGGATCGGCGGTCGACGGGTGGATGGGTGCCAAGGACCGCTGGACGGCTGACCTCGGTAGATGTGTACGTCCATGCTTCAATAGATTGACTTGGAAAGCTCCCCAAAGAACACTGCCTTTTTTGGGGAACTCGGCAATCCACCTGTCGCACATGCCACTGGACTGTTTTTCTGTTTTGTTTGTGTGTGTGTTTTTTTTATCCTTGGTGGTTGGGGGAACCGCCATGATTTGGTTGGTCCGTGTCTTTGCTATTTTGCCGCAGCTTGCCTTATTTACATAAGGATTTAATCAGGATCATCAACGTAGATGTGCATGTATGATTCTGTATGATCATGTATTAGGGTTTTGTTTCTTCCTGTGTGCTTGTAGGATTACATTGGACTGCAGTGACTGCTCTTTTTCTCCAAAGCGTCGCTCCTGAGGATTTTGACCCGGGGCTCGGTGGAGGTCGTCGAAAGCGGGCGGGTGCTTGGTACTCTGGAGACTGGGCGACGAACAACCGGCGCGGGGTGACACTGGTCGCCTTATCGGTGTTGGTCGCCTTACTGGGGTGCCAGTGGTTCCTGATGCAATGAAAGATTGACCTACATTAAACCCCGAAAATATCTCAAAGCCATCCTAAAGTAGGCAAAGATTCCATGGAGTGTTTTATTTTGTGAGAGAGTAAATACAAAGGCAAGCTATCCCTAAATATCACTGTTTCCATGGGGGTTCTGTAGTTGCTATATTGTATCCATTTATATCCTATCGTTGTCCTTCCTCGAGCAGCCGCAAACGGTGGAATACAATTGCAGTAGAAATCCAAGCTTCCCTGAACCCTCATGTTCACGCTTCGTTAGATGTTATTAGAGGTTGTTAAGCTTCATTGTTTAGATGTTAGATATGAGATTGATTAGCTGTTAACTTCAGCTCACCAGTCTTACCGAAGGGCTCCAAAGAACCGACCCCCCCGGGGCCATGGATGCCCGGCCACATTGCGCCAGGAGGCGGGCTCCATCTTCGGCGATGCGGTCGCCTTCGGGCGGTGCGATCAGCAGCCGTTCTCCATCCACGCTCGGGAGATCCCGGTGATTGCGCGGCTGGGAACGGCTAGGGGGAGCGCAGTTTGGTTTCGGCGCGGGGTTTCTCGGTGGTGTAACTCAACCAGAGTCTCTTAGTCCGTTGGGGGTTGGGACGTTTAGAAGGGATTTCGGACTAAACCACGAAAGGTTAAGCCCTGGGCGCCCAGGACTTATGGACAACCAAGAAAAACTATTTATGTTTGACTACCTTTTTTTTGGGGGGGGGACTGGTCTTCAAGATAGGCTCTCGAGGCTGTCTGAAAAGGGTTGGTTGGGCATCGGCATCAGGCGGCTGTCTTAACGGTGTTTTCGAGGAGGAATGGGAAAGAGGAGGCAAACTCAGGAAGTATATAGTGTAACATCCGTTCAATGGTATGACTGGTTGGTAAAAGAGTGTGATGTTAAACCATGTTAAACCTTTCTTATCAGCACTTTTCCTGCAAGAGGCCTCCAACTAGGAGGAGATGGGAGGGCAACACCAGCGTACTTGTACTTGAAGCTATGCGGCTTGCCGTGTAAAATGCAAGTAAGCTTGGATACAGAGCATGTTTCCCTACCTACCAAGCTCCATCAAGCAGCCACAGCTGTATTTGTGTACCAGATATCAGGTACACACCTACCATCAAGCATTGGCCTGACTACATGAGGTGGTGCTGGCCCGCCGTTGAACTCCAGCAACTTCTGAAAGCGCAGCCCATGGCAAAGGCCATCATGGACGCCTGGGTTGTCAATGTCATGTATTCCAGCATGTTATGGTGTGTTTTTCTTTTTTCTTGAACAAGAGCGCGTAATCGTGAGTAGATGTTGGTCGGGTTGCTTCTTAGGTTTCACTTCCTTTTGACCTGCTGGAAGCAATTGTTTTCGGAGCTCAGATCCGAGGATCAATTTGTGGATCAGCAAGAGAAGCAGCTCCTTCGGCCTCTTGCATCCGGGCAGCCTTGGACAGACTGGCACGATGTCCAAACGAATTGCAATGGCAGCAAGGTCCTCCACCGTAGTAGCGATGGCCTCCAACTCAATAGCAATGGCCTCCTCCCTAGTAGGGGTGCCCTTTGGTCAAAGATGAAGTCAGACAGAGCGACAATCTTGCAGCGCTGGGGTTTGAGGCTTCCAAGCTCATTATGCTGTCCCATGCTGGGCCCGAATTCACAGAGGAGCTGCTGATGCTTGGAGATGCTTCATCAAGTGCTTTCCAGTGCTTTAGCGTCACTAGCTCTCAGTCCTCCTAGAGGCCTGAACGTACCCTCGTATGTAAACACATGTGAAACTCAGCGTGTTGAGCCGGGTGTTTGTGTTATTTGCGTTTCATGCCAGATGCGCCTCATTACCGAGAACGAGAGCCATTTGTCCTTTGAGTTTTTTTCCCCTTTGATCTCTTTTAAACAAGAGGACCTTGCACAAAGCTGCACAAAGGACACAAAAGACCTGGCTCATGTTACACTCTCCGAGTTTTTTCAGAGGACACAAATGGATGCGTGCTTGAAAAATTCGGCTGCCTAAGGAACAAGATGGAGGTGCGACATTATCGTGCCTCAAATACGATTTGGTCCCCTCTCTCCACTCACGCTAGCATGCGAGTGGTGATCACCGGGCGTGTCCTGGTGCAGAAGAAGCTTGACGGCACATGTGACGGTGTTTTTGATTGTGTGGTACATTCTCCAAGCAACCGAGAGATGATCAACTACTGTATATAAGTGTTTTGGCAAAATAGTTGTTTGAACATGTAAAGCCTCCTCAGAACTCCTGGCTAAAATCCCAACCACAATTTTGGAATTCAATCAAGACTCTTGAACGTGGTATACATTTGTCAGCTGCTTCATGTTTGTTTTATTTCGGAGATAAACATGCTAGTGTATCGTCGCGTGTCGTAACCTTGCTGGCCGTGCCAGAAGCAGGCTGACCGCTACTGCGGTGGCCACAGGTTTTCAATATCAGAGTTGTTCAAGCAGCGGAGGTAAGCGCTTGCCCCGGTGGGCAAGTTTGAACCAGGTGGTTAAGGTTGAGGCTAAGGATAAAGGTGTTCCTGATCTGCAACTAACTTTGACCGTTTAATATGTTTTAAAATGAATCAATCAACTGAACTGCGATCAATCAACGTCGTTTGCTTGACATGTTGGAAAAGCGCAGTGACGACTCATGTACGACACAAATGTCCCGCACGGTTCGTCCATTCGAAGGTTGGTAGTCGCCGGTCGTCCGATCGTCGGTTGTTCTACGACAGGAAAAGGGGTGCTTTGCAGGAAGGTAGCACTTCATTGTCCAATATATATATATATATATGTAAGTTAGGGTGTGTATTTTCATCGGGAGACCCCGAATCACTGGATTTGGGTCTTATTTCCCTTCACCTTCCATGGGGTTTAACAACACGTGGGAGGATCGACCTGCTCAGCCCTTCGATCGACCTGCTCAGCCCGGAGTGGTTTGCGACCGAGGAAGTCGCCCGAAGACTTCGAGCGCCACGGCGGTTGGAAGTGAGACAGCGAGGAAGCGCAATCGGTGTTTGGCTAAGTGTTGGAAGGAGGTTGACAGCTTACCACTTAGCATGTTCTTAGCATGGTTTCCTCAAGTTTGTGATGGACTATTGTAGGCTGACAAAGTAGGTACGTGAGGTTTGCTAGAACTCGGATTGAGTCCGTGATTTTCCCAATGGTGTATAATTGTGTTACGGACCTTGGTCGCTTTGAGAAGGCAACGAGAGACAAACCTTTGTGAAGTATCATTAAAGATGCTTTCAGGATGTCGCGTTTGCATCTACTTGATGTAGAACTATTATATACATATTATTCCAGAGAGATTTCAGATGACTTCCGATAAGTGGGTGTGTGTTTTAATACGGGTCTCCCCATGCCCCATATATGGGTTTCGGTCTATTTTCCTTCTGCCAAATTGTCTTTTTCGGGTCTTTACATTTTATACACCCCCATGTGATCCATTTGAGCGCGGTTGGCTGATGTGAGCTCGGAAGTCAGCTGTATAACGTTGGAAGAGGTGATGTGCATCCACGTCGGAAGAGCTTCATTTAGACTTCTTGGAAAGCGACAGATGACCTCGTCGCCGTAGTCCAGGAGCCCCCTCCTCAAAGATGTCCGGCAGGGAAACTAGATTTTCCATCATGGAATCACAGCAGTTTTGTTTACTTTTGTTTGCGCATTCTGTATCGCCGAAGAATGTCTTGAGATCCTTTTCCTTGGTTTGCCTCGTGTGTTTGAATAAGTGGAATCGTAGCGTGTACAAAGACCGGGAAAACTATGAACAAAGACACTGGTATACCGTGTTGCTCCTTCCAAAGACACAGGGAAACACCCACAGGCCACAGCCTCCTATGTTTCCCACTCCTCTCTGGTCCAGCCTGACCCAGTCTGGAAAAGTGGATATCAAAATCGGGTATAAAAGTAGCATTATCGGGATCAACAAATAATATTTCAATATTATCAGGATCAGTAACACATCATGAAGTAAGGAAGGAAGGAAGAAGAAAGGAAAAGGGAAGGAAGCATGGCAGACCTTTTGTGTTGGCTGTTTGGGGGACGCGCTGCACCCTCTGTATCACCCTCCCGCAAGGCCCCCAAACGCGCCATGAAATCTGCTATTTCTATTTCCTGGCTGCCACAAGATTTGATATTTTTTGGTGGAACCCTACTCCGTGTTCCGTTTCGGTGTCTGTAGAATGGAGAAACAACATATACACATACTGACACTCACGCAACAGGCACCACAACCTAAAAAGAATTGTTGTTGTTTCTGTTGGGATTGAAACTAGCTGTGATCATGACCTACTTTTCCGCACCTACTGCACATTACATTTTGGCGGCTGAAGAGTGCAATGAACACTTACTGCGATCATGACCGGTCTAAAGACTAGCCGCCAGCCACAGGAACCAAAACAATAGGCTGGCTTTTGTGTCCTGCTGGTGCTGCCAGAAAGCACAGTCTTTCGGTGAGCCACCAGTTCTGCATGCTGCTGTGAGGAGGGGTTTGAGTGCGACAAACCAAAATCAATTGTTTGATCGCCCAGCCTTTTGATTATCCTGTACGATCCTGATAATAATTTCTGAAATTATTCGAACCTCTTCCCCAGTCCGGGCGTTCTTTTCCAACCGGTCCCATGGGCCCCTTCGGCTTGCTGAGGCAGACGGGCTTGGCGGTCTCCCCGAATGATCCCAAGGTGGAACGACGGCAGACGGTGCAGCTGGGCGAGCCGCCACCCGCGTCGCTGGTGCGGTCGCCGACCATCACCCTGGATCTGGAGCAGCTTGGAGCAGAAGGATGAAGCCAAAGGACTGCCAAGGATCTTGTGAACGAAGATGAAGAGGGTTTTTGAGTCTTTGAGGGTGAAATTGGGTGATGGATGTTTGGCATTGCTGGACTCTACTAGTGGCTCAAAAATTAACGGATGTCAGATCTTCGGGGTAAAGCAGCTGAGGGTTTGTGCCAGCGTTGGCGTGCTTGTGGAACAAGCTGCAACATCAAGGGTTTTGCACCCTGATTCAAGAAAGACGTGCTTCGGGGACAATACTACAATTGAGCCAGCTAGCCAGGAGTTCTGCAGCATTTCTATGGTGAAGACTTAGCTTCTATAGATGCGTATGGTATGAAACACAAATTTCATATTGATTTGTTGGGTGTTAGAACTCCGAAGTTGGGTGTTTGTTTCTTGATCAAAACCTTTGCTTAGCGTTTTGGGTGTGACACGCTCACTGGCTGCGCAACTCGACTTCCAAGCTTGTCGAGCCTGGATGGTGGCTGCAGACGGAGTTTGTCAAACATGTTTTTAAACTAATATATATAATATATATGTATAATATATTCTCTCCGTCAGTGTCACCATGCTGGGATGTGTTTCCCTTTTCGTGGCCTCCCCTATAGAAAAGGTTTCCAGTACCTGCATGTTTTCAGGTCAACCTTTCTTTTTCCCAACAATTCCAGCCACGGAAGAACCGCGCTTCGGAAGACCCGCGCCGGATTTCCGACTCGATTCAGGCCGCCCAAGTCAAAGCCGTCGATCCGACCACTGCCGTCGATCCGACCACTGCAGCGGATGAGCGATTGTGCAAACTCACCGAGCATGACCCTGGCGGATCAGCTGAGAAGGGTTTGGAAGGTTTGCGTCGCGTGGGAAGGTTTTGGTGGTCAAGAGTTCTTTTTGATCCCAACTCCCGCATTGTGACCTCTATTGCAGATGGTTGATCATCATCTTGTTCATTTTTCAGCTGGCGTCCTGACAACCTGGAAGCTTGCTGCAGTCTATACCGTTTGTAGTAAACCAGGAAGAGAAGCTCTGAGTTAGAAGCACATGGCATGTGCACGGGCGCCACAAGCCATGCTTCTCCCCCTCAAAAGAACCAAGACCACATACAAGGAGGTTCGTACTAAGACCAGGTATTCCAGTTGGTCCCTCCATTTGCACATGTCACCAATGCATCGGGAACTTGGCAGCAATCTCAACCAATCAGAACTGCCAACTGGATTTGATGATTTCCTTATCAGCTGGGTGCAATGTCACAGAGTGTCATCCGCGAAGCATTTGGAATGCTCTCCCCACCTTGAAAAATCCCTTCTTCAGCCAGAAGGTTCCGCAAAATCTGTGGAAACCCAAAGGAAATCACTGAAATGTTCGGGGTTTTGAAGGTAGCCTAGCCATCCTATCTCAAGCTGGTTTGAAGGAGGAAAACAACCTTGCATATCCTTGCATCAGGTAGATTTGGAACCACAACTACAACTGAATGTACGCCAGGTTTGGGGACACATTTGTGGAAGTATGTATGATCATGTTTGTATATGTATTGTATAGATGGTGGGAACCCAAAACTGGTATGTGGTGCCACTTAGGTGAGGATGCTCCAGAAACACACCAGTCTCTGGAAGTTTGCTTCACACGTGACCCCTAAAGCCTGCATTTTGATGTGAGTCCAAAACCTACCCAGGATTTCCATGGATTTCCTCTATCCTTTACATGATTTCAGGTATTACCAATCCAACATAGTCCAACCAATTCCATGGAACAACGGATCTTCAAATCCGTTTCAGACTCGCGTGATGGCTGAGGCCGGTGGCAAAGCTGCATTGATCTCCTCTTTGACACACGGCTAGAAGCACGTCATGTCGACACTCAAGTGATCAATTCCCCCTGGTCCCCGAAGGTTTGTTATTATTGGTCAGAAATTTGTATAGGTAATATACACAAAACATGTGTTGGTTTGATTGGGGTTGGTAGTAAACATATGACCATAGGATGAGGGATTGGTGAAATGAAACAAAACAGGTGAATGGTTCAATTGAATTGAACATGTAAGGACATGTTGTTTGATTGCCAAGAACCATAGGATGAAGGATTGGTGCAGTTAAAGGGGATGAAGAAAGGATGTTAAATAGCTGGGGGGTGTCAAAAAATTGCACCTCCCAGAAAGGTGGACCGGTGGACCAAACTAATTGCAGCTAGACAGTTTTTTGTTATTCTTCATATAAGACTTATAAGACGTTACTATTGTAGGCCCCGAGGCGGACCAAACCAACTGGTGGGGGTATGTTAATCCTATGTCGACATTAGCAACATGTCAGAAAAGGTCAATGAAGTAAAGCAGTTGTGTCGTGCTCACGGGGCAAAGATTACCATCTAGTATGCAGTGCATTGATAGGACATCCCCACTCTATCCCTTTTTTGGTGTAGGTTCCGTGTTCGCATTTGTTGCTGTATTGAGGTGTTTGCTATGCCGTGCAGACAATGGTCCTAATTACTTAACTGCGATGTCAAACGCTGGCACTGAGACAAACAAGATGTAAGACAACTTGTTGTATGATGATTCGGCGTTTGTTGACTGGCGTGTCATTATGTTTTGAGGTGGTGGAAGCTTCAATGGAGTTCATGGCTTTGGGCTGGGCCACTGGACAGGTCACTTTCCACCATGGCCCCTGCGAAAATTGGATTGGCCCGGTGGTACTCTCTGCAGCGCCCAGCGAGCTTCGTAGAGACCTGGTTTGGGTGGAAAGCCCGGTTACCGGTTTTAGAGTGCATTTGAACATGAGGAGCTGGTAAGTTCGGCCATGTAGATGAATTACCTGGTGGGCCTTGTGGCTTCGTGTGACCCCAATCAGTATTTTCTTGTAGGTTTCGTGGACTATAAGGATCAGCAAGACCAAATCAGCAGAACCGCATCAACGCATCCAGTCGGCTTAGACGCATGCAGTCGCCCGAGTTTTCCAGCTTAGACACCGGCTTAGGAGAAAGTCCCTAGCCACCGGCTTCAGCTTCGTAGCTTGGCGGTGAGAGAGCCTCGTGCGCGACGAAAGGATAGGCCAGATCGCTTTGGTCGCGAGGACGCTCGTGTTTTGCATCTAGACCTTTGATACATGAAGTGAGTTTGGGGAAGGACATGATGGATGATGCCAAATGGTTAGTGCCTTTTTCATGCCTTTCCGGTTGGTGGAGACATGCTATTGACTCCTTCCGGGTCCCAAATTGGTTTGGGGTTCCCTGAGCAGAACAGAGTGGTCAGGAGATGTTTTGTTTTTGCGAGGAAGAAGTGTGGTTTGTACAAAGAACAACAGAACTACTTTAAATGTCGTCCATGTAAAACATTGGATTGTGTTATTAAAAGAAGTAATTAATTGTGTATTACCGGAGGAGGAAAACCACAATTTACGGTGCCAAACGGGACTTGCCGGTGGTCCGTGGTGCAGAAGATATTCCATGGACAGCATCACACAAGACAGCAGGGGACAAAAAGCTCAAACTCAATGTGAAAAGCGGCCGTTCTCCGTCCGTGAATCAAGGGTTTGCTCGTGATTGGTGTGCCCAGGACCACTTGTATGACGAGGATGAAGAAAGTGAAAGTGAACTTGCAGGTTTTGAAGAGGAATCCTGGATCAAGTTTGGATGTGATGATATTAGTGATAGTATTTTTAGAGAAATATAGACATGTGCAATGACTGTCTTTTCTTTTCAACTGAAGGTTGTTGTTGAGTAATACAAGAACATACTGTTTCGGCTCTATTCTTTAGTCTGCTTCTCTTGTGTAGTTGTCAAATGACCAGGAATCCTCCCCTTGACATGAGAGAATGCTCACCTTCTGCAAGTGTCCCATCCCATTTGGGTGTGAAGGGATTGCTATGATTGAACATCAACATAAGAGGTTGTCATGTCAGCTTTTGATATGTCTCGCTTTAGGTTATTATTAGACTTTGACATAGACCCAACACATGAGTGGTCTATGGTGCCTTTCATGTCTATTTCCACCTCCACTCTTGGTCACATGGACCAGAACTTGTACGTGCTTTTGCTTTCGCTTTTGTTTGGGTCAGACCTCTCATTCAGCCCTGACAGGTTGCAGCTGCTAACTTTTGAGGGATCCGGGATCACCCTGTTTTTTGAGGGTGGCTGGGATTGTTGCGGACGAATCGACTCACCAGATCAACTGATAGAAGTTCAGGATCAAGTCATAGAAGTTGAGGATCGACACATAGCTTCGTCCTTCCATTCTCCTCTGGGAACCTGGTTTGATGGGATGTCCGGTCTGGAGTGGTGGGGTGGAGTTCTCTTCACGTTCAGCGAACGACAGCGACCGCCCATCCCCTCCCCATGACACGTCGGCCATCGCGAGGATGACATCATCGAAGAAGCCGAAGACTCGGGACTCAGCAGTAACGCGAGTTCCAGTGGGAAGCTCAGAGGGGGGACCGCACTTGCCACATGTGAAGGACCAGGGAACTTCCCTCTAGCCAGATGGAAGTTCCCCCTTTTTTTTGGCCATGCACTTTTTTTTCCGATCATACCTGCAAAACCTACATCCAACCATATGCCTTTGAGCACGCACTCCTCCACATGGTCATGCATCTCCTTTTTCCCACTCGAGGACTCCGATGAGCCCTGGAAGAAAAGGAATAATTCCTGTACCAGTTGAGATGAGAATATTAACCAGAAACAACTGGTACATAGACTATTTATATATGGATGTGTGTGTCAGATTTCCTGAATATGTCAGAATATATATATATATAACACTGCAGCCCTTCGTTCAAGAGTGTCCTCTTGATATTGGATGCATGAGCGCCTAGGTGGGAGCACGGATTCAGAGGAAGATGAGACGCTGAACTGCATTTCAAGAATGTCAAGCCGTGAGAAGCACCCAAATTTCAAACCACAAGACCTTTGCAGATCCCAGCAATCTTCCATTTCTTGAAGTCCATGATTCACTAAACTGTCCAGGCCTTCCAAAACACTTTTGGTCAGGCCAACTTGCACGGGAGCTGGGGTTCTGAATATATGCTTTGCCAGCCGTAGTTAAGGCCCTTGCACACTCACGTCACATTCAGATTTGATGAGAAGGTTGCGAGTGACAAAGGTTGCACAGATGAGATGCACATGAGGACTAAGAAAAACAATTGGAAGACTGAATTTGCACGGTGCTTGCTGTACTTCTTTTCTTTGCGGCAGCATTGGTTGCAGAACACAATGGGTCCGCCCAAAGATAGGGATCCCATTTTATGTAAGATGTTTTTCATGTCATTTGTGATGAAGAATTGGAATGTAGCGAGTTTTCCTTACTAGATAATCATACCCCAGCATCAATAGACTGCTGGAAAAAAATGAAAAACATCAACAGCAGCAACAGCAGCAACAACTTCTGGACTCACATCGGAGATCATGGGAGTGTGGGTGCCTTATGCCTTATCCTGGTGGTCTCTTTCGACACCCCCAAATAACAATAACGACCACCGCCTCTCACACGGCCCCTCTCGAAACCTTCTCTTCCGATTCAGGACGAAGCTCTACGAATTGCCCGAGACCCTGGCGCACCTGGAGCCTTCCAATGAGGTGGAGGCGGTGATTCTCGACTTTGTGGGACGAATATCGACGGTTGAATGGACTGTGGGTCGACCCGTTGACCTATCTGGTGTCGGTCTAACTCGCCTACCTACGCGGCTTGTTTGGTAAACTACGTCGGGTGAACAAGGTGAACGAACTCATCTCCATGTCGGCTTTCTCTTTGCGTTGGATGAATTGAGTAAGACAAAACTTGCAGTTCCAGAGTTGGGCGCCAAACTTGGAGGGTAGGGATGTTGATCCACTCACTGGATGGGACGAAAAAGATCACCTCCTTAGAACCGGCTATAGATCTCAGGTTTCAATACATTGAGAGATTACAGTCAACATGATCAAGACCGGCCATAGTGGGATTGTCAAGTGCTGAAAAAAAAATGCGCATCGAGATGCTGGGGCATCGATCGATCAATTTACTCTGAAATAGAAGTATTCGGGGAATCCCAGGGATGGATTTTTCTTAGATTTCATGAAAAGTAATGGGAGGGATAGGTACAGGTGACATCAGATCCTGCGATGGGCACTTGGATGCGACATGCTTCACCAGTTCCAGAGCATCATCCAAACAACATGTGTATATATATATATATATACACAAACATGTATCTACACTTATCCGGAAAACTGGGTAGAGATCGACAAAAATACCCGGGAGCATGTTTCGTGGCTGCCGCTGCCATTTTGCCAGCAACGAGAGGGAATGCTCAATTTGTTGTCGCACTAGTTTTTGGAGATTGAATACTTGACGAACCCTGTACTTACCAGGGTGCATTTGATCGTAAGATTGGCAAGCGTCGCCTTTGACTAGTCTCACTGCGGTGCAACATATCGTCAGCCCTTTGCAAAGCAGCAGTGCGTAGCTTGTGAAGGCAAACACACCATATTGATCCCTTTTCCGTCAAAAGAGCCTTAGCTTTGAGACTGTCTCATTGCATCTCTCGAAACTCTTGCGCTGGCTTTGCGGGTGTTTTTGAGCCAAGCATCCTGTGCAGGCTAAGGCAGGCCCACAGTGTTTGGCCTTCAATGAAGCTGTCCTGATTGGTTACGAGATGAACGATCAGGCTGGCACTTTGCCGCGAAGTAGAGTGACAAGGATTGTCCTGGAACAGGGTTGAGAAGGCCCCATCGAACCGACACAACCTCAAGACCTCAAGAAGTAATATTGGGATACATCAAGATCATCTCAAGAGTGTGGTTATCATGAATAGATCGTCGTTATGAAGAATCCAGGATAAGGTCCAATCGACTCCTGGTGATGAGTCATGCTGGCTGAACCCTTTCTCTACGGGGAGCTGTTGGGTTGGCCATGCCAGCGCGGAGAGTTGAACATTCTGAGCCAAGCAGGGTCCGTTTTGCTTTTTTGGGGGGGGTGCAGACTCCAGGAGATGTGGGGTTTGCAGATGTTGGTGTCTTGCTGCAGGAGAAGTACCGCAACGTCAAAGCACTGACAGATGCTCAGCACTGACGATCACCGCTTCCAAAGTTCCAGACCCCACGGCCAGGGGGAGATGTGTGCCATAGTGTTGCTTCGGGACACCGATGGAACACACCCCAAAGTCACATGTGTGTTACTTGAGTGATTTTCAAGTCGTTCTGTTTGGGCCGAATATTCTTGCTGCTTGCTACTTTTCCTAGTCTCTCAGTGGCTTGATGCAAGTCCAAGATGCCCTACTAATTACTGTAGAAGTTCATCGCTTGTGTTGTTTACGGGAGAACTGGAGCCAGAACTGTTCATACACATGCCGTCGGAACTCCTTTGCTCCTCAGTCGAGCGGTTGCATCCTTTTGCAGTAGCAGCAAGTTTCTCACGAAGCCAGTATTGCAGTGGTTCCAGAGAAGACTGCCAAGCTTCAGAGGAAACAAATAAACCAGTAGCAAGTACAATCCACACATTTAGGACATATTTGCAACTTGTGGTGACAGAGGATTCTTTCTGATGCTGCTTCCAACCCCTGGCAGAACCATCGCAGAAAGACATGTTGCCATTGAATTTATTGCAGTGTGACATGCTGCGAAAGGCCAAATTGATTTACTCGTACCTGCGGGGTTTCTCAAACGATGATAGGCCTTTTCTTGCGCCTTCCTGGGCACTCTGCCTGGACTTCTCTCGGTGTCTTGTCCAGGACTGCCTGGTGTGTCACATCTCTGCCGAGTCCTTTCTGGATGCCCTGCACAACCACCACCGTGAGATGAAGCGCTTCAAGCTCCTGGCCGCTGCCAGGTCGGTTGTGGCTTCGCATCATCCGTTCGACGGTGAAGCGTTCTCAGCGTCATTGGTCATACCCTAGGGATCCAGTCGTACCTTCTCAGGTGATTGCAGGCGCCAGAAGGGCCCAGTCGTAGCTTCTGAGAAGGTATGTGGATCCCTAGGGATAGTCATCATGTTGTCATCATCGTCATGTGAAGGTTGGGTCCCAACCCCTACATCGAACATCCAGAAGGAATGCCCGGCCTTCCGAATTCCAGGACCAGTTGTAGGGAGCCAAACCAACACAGGCTACGCGGCTACCCTGTTCCTACCTTACAAGTAAAGAGCGGCGAACTGGGTCCAAACCAGGGGACCCGACCGGTTCACCAACGAGAATGAACCGAATAGACGACTGGGGAGGTCAACCGTGACGTCGTAGGACCGTTACGTCGTAGGCTCCAGGTCTTGATCCACAGACCGTCGGAGCTCTTACGGGATCAGCATTTCCCAGACATGCCACGGATGGAATAGATACCTACATTGGCCTCTGAAACCACCCCAATGTATGCAAATATGCCATAAATATTCATATGGACATACATATATATATATATTTACATGGAGTGTTTGGGTTTGTGTGTGCTTTTCCAGTGTTGGTGCCTTCGTGGGTGACCTCAGACCTCTGAGTGTTGAGTTGGACTGGAGACCTCAAATCTTTTTGACGCAGTGAAGACAACCCTACGGAGATGTAGTTGCTTTGTTGGGCTCCCACTCTGAATCATACTGGGAGCTAGCCAATCCATCCACATAAAGTTGTATAGGAGCCTTCTGGGCAGAATGTTGAAGAACTAAATTGAGAAATTGAGAGATTAACACTTTCTCGAAGTGTTCCTTGCCACTTTGCCCTCTACACGAGTCTATGAGTATGACTAGCCTAGCTGTACAGAGTCTGTTACTTACATAATACAGTTTTGCCATGGTCTTTGTAATGACTCAGTGAGCCAACTACAGCCACATCCTATCCACATCCTTATTCCCAAGAAACAACCCTTGCCAGGTACAAAGAATGGGAACGCTGCGGGATTCACAAGTTGACAACCTTGGAGGCAGCCGGGTGGGATGCTGTTCACAAACCCACAGGCATCCGCAGGCTCTGACCGATGCCGTGAAGAACACCTGGTGAAGTGTTGCACGTGATTTGGGGTCGATGAACCGGCCATCCCTACACCTGGAACCTTTCAAGGTACCAAATTTTGGAGCCTCAACATTTAACCAAATGTCATTATTTTTGGGAGGGTCATGTCTCATCTATGTAACATGCCACAACTATTTCATAGAACCTAAGTGAAAGTACTCACCTAATATCACATTCTAGAAATCGTTTAGGAGTGTGATTTCAATCCAGGAGTGGGTCCGAAGCAATTTCCTTCACAGTCAAGCGACCCAACATGACCCGACATGCAATTATTCCAACCTAGTTTGGAGTCCCAAATTTGGCATTGTTGAACTCCTTTGGACATGAAATGGTTCAATTTTGAGTCCAATCTAGGCACAAACTGCACCGTCCAGGTAGTTCTTCAACTGAAGTTCATGTTACTTTCTGATCTTCCGACAGTCTTCGCAGATTTGAGTTTGTCCCATTTAAATAGTTGTAGAGTCTGACCCGTGTTGCAAGGGTAAAGAGCCTTGTAACTACCATGGTCATCAACATCTTGATGATGATGGGACCGACAGGAGCGAGACACCTACAGTGCACTACAGGAACCCAATCCGCAGGGAATGCAGGGTTCGAAGATTCTTTGACGCACGCGTGTGGGTCGAAACAAAAGGCACTTGTGCTGGTCTTCGTGCAGGTCTTCTCGAACTGCTCCAGGGAGTTTTTGGCAGATCTTGCACAGGAGACGGTGCCCCGTTTATGCTTCAGCGGCACTGATTTGAGACTTGGCAGATTTGGGCCTTGAACATCAAGTGAACCAGATCACTCCCATTGACCAGAAGACCAACAAAAACTACCGTTACATTGTTGGTTGCTTGTAGGATGGTATTCAGTCATTGTCCTAAGCAGACTTGAGAGTTTTTGTGTTTCCGTTTGTTCCTGTTCTTTGAGGCATGTTTTGCTTGACTGGACCCCGAAGGTTCATTGTATGGGTATTTGCCATAGCGACAAATGACATGTGCTCCGCTCTAGTTCTGCAATTGTGAGAAGAAATCATCCCCAGCAGTTCCAATCCCTTTCATGGCGTTGTCCGCCAGATGTTGTGGAAAGAATCATGTTTGTGCGGCCGTGTTTCATTGTTCACCAGATTCTCAGATCCCCAAGAGTTGAGAGGAGTTGGTGTCGGATCCAAGCTTCTAGTCTAAATAAACCCCTCACACAAGTTGAAGGAAGATTGGAAGAACATCTGACTCAGACCAGATTGAAAGACTAGTCGTATGGAGTAGTCTCTGATCTTGAACCCCAGGATGGAGGAGGCACAGGATGGCCTTGTGCTGCTGATGTCCGGCATTGCGGTCTCAGATCAGAAGCGTCCGGAGCCCTGGGTCCTGCGGAGTTGGTGTTTGTGTGAAGATGAAGAAAGAGTGAGCATATATAGAGTGAGCAAGTCTCAAGATTACAGAAACTCAGGACTCAGAGCAGAGAATCATCTCCCACCATGGGATAGCCTTTATGCTCTTGGTCTTGTTCATTTTGTTTATTTCCTTGGCTCGTGAGGACCCCATTCGTGTTTGCTGCAACAAACCAACAGGGTGCAGCTAATCTAGCGAGCTTAGCTGAGTGGCTTTACCTGACCTAGAATTGGTCTACTTTGGCAGAGTTAGTTAAGCATTAGCCTTGCCCAGGCTGTAAGTTCGGAGCAGCCTCAACCAATATACTTGGATGATCTTGGATGTGGATTTCCACTTTCAAATGGGTGGCCCGAAAGGGGCCCATATATCAAATTCCCTATGAATGATGGACTGCTTTCCATCTCAACAGCCGACACTAGCAGCTCCACTAGACGCTCCCGACGCTCCCGCTGGCGGAGGGCGATTCCGAGCGCCGGATGTGGTGAGCAGCTTCCCATGGTTGGGGGAGGAGACCCCAGGAGTTGCTGCCAAGGTGAAGGCGAAAGGCGTGTGCCGTGGCAGCCCAGTTTGGAGATGGGGTGATGAATATGGTGAATTGGTCGGTTCAAAGAGGCCTGGGGGGGGGGTGAACAGGGACGAGGATCGGTGATCCAAGCACCGGCATTGGACACCGGTAAACGTTCGCTAGCGGCAAACCCGGGCGAACGCGGCCTTGCACCCGTTGTGCCACAGTTTAACAAACTGTTTGGTAGGTGAAGCGGGCATCCATGTTGGCATGTTGGGTGGAGACGACGCATGGCATGTAAGGAACTCTGGGCAGACACCGCAGCAGTGCTTCTTTGGTAATTTTTGCGGCATCCAAAGGTGAGTGGAAAGAATATGAAAGAAATCATATTTGAGGATGAAGGGATCACAATCCAAGGCAGGATTTAAAACGAACAGATTCAGAATCACATGTCAATCAGGATTAGGGGCTTCTTTGATCCCCGAAGTGGTGTTCGTCCATTCTTTGACAGATCCCTCGAGATCGCCGTGTGGAAAGCACCACAATGCAGAATTGCAATCGGATCTCAGGTGCCAAGTGCTGACCTTAGAGCGCTCCAAGCTGTTGCGCCTTTTAGGTTCCTTGAAAAAACAAGGACGGAAGGGGAAGATGGAAACATGGCAGAGCTGAGTTGTTGTTACTGTTGTGTTGCACACACATAATGGGATGATGCACAAGCGCCATTCTCACACCACACTCCAGATGGCAGCTTTCAAAGGGTCCGCTGCGCAATCCAAATCAAAGCAAAACTCTTGGTTTTTAGAGTACATAGCTCTGCAACACATGCTGCCCTGGGCAAGTTCGAAGGATTCTTTACAAGTGTTTGGAAGTTCGGCACTCTAGGTTTGCCAGAGTTATATATTATATACATAATTATATATATATATGTCATGTATAATATTTGTTGATGGCAAGAACATCATGGGGAACCCAATGAACGGTCCGAGTCCAAGCATCACTGATCAGGCGATCAGGCTGTCCATGTTCGTTGAGCCAATCGAAGTGACCATTCCATGGAATCATCCAGGCCCCCCAAGGAACCGCTGCCAAGAGTGCCCTCACTCAGTCACTCAGTGCCTAGGCACTGTGGTTGGGATGCTAGGGGGTTGCGATACGAGCCACGAAGCCATGTTGTCCATGGAGCTTACCAACTGATGGAGTGGGGTTCCACGGGCGTACCGCAAGACACATGCGACTATGAGCCTCCAAAGTACCCCAGAACAGGTACGAACCATGACCCTGTTGAGCCGTACAGGTACGAACGCACCATGCTCTGAGCCGATGCCCCGCGCTCCGGTGCCCCTGAGGCACTTACCCCCACCAAACTGCGCTGATTGTGGCGGAGGCCAACAAGATTAATGCTCGCAAGGCGCCGAACGCCACCAAAGGTGCACGCAATGCCCGTGTGGCCAAGAAGGGTGAGGAACCGAGTCATGACCAAAGGAAGGGGGACCTTTGGGACTTTAGCTGTGAGTTCGGTGACCCGGGTCGGTGAGGGCATGAATGCCTTTTGTATCGTTTTGTAGCTCTGTGGCTTTCGTTTCTTGTGGATTTGGCAAAAGTAACATGCAAGAAGCTGAAAAGTCTAAAGAGTTTGGACCTCAACAGATTCGAACATGCTCTTGTTGAAGGGTGTGCCAGATGCATTTGAGACTGAAGCAAGCTTTTGCAAGCTTGCCAGATGATGCACACTTTGAACTAGCCAATTCTAAATTCTAAATGGCTTGGTCCCGCTTTGGAGAAGACATGCAAGATAGATTGAGCAGAAAAAACAAAGCAAATCCATTCAGGTAGATTCTGCATTGAAAGTATAAAGACATTGCACTTGGTGGTTGTGGTGTAACCAGCGGACAGGTTGTTTTTTCTGGCTCCCTAAGAGGTCGGCGGAATCCGATTCCTAGCACATTTGTGGAGGCTCGATGTCTCGATCATGCACAAGCGTAGGTAAGGATCCTCCGTCCTCCATCCAATGATGTGTTTATATTAGTTAGTTATACAGTTATACTATATCAATATATATATATACTTTATATAGTACGATTTAATTTGATACTGTTTGGTTGTTAGGGATGGTGTTTTGGCTAAAGTTATCGCTGGTGGGATACACTTGCTAAAAGAAATAGCACCCTCATCCATATCACCAAGTCTCTGACCCAGCTCAGGGGACGCCTCTTCTGGTATTTCCCCTTTTGTGAGAACTTGGGTGCACTCTTTCTGTCAGAGCTCATCAACAGCCGCCTGGACCAGAATCCTGAAGTGGAATGCCTCAGTCGTCAAAGACGGTAGACGCTAAGCACTGCACCTCCAAGCTTTGCTTTTAGAGTGAAGCCCGGCTCATGAAGTTCCGCAAGTTAGATCACCATAGACAAAGGTTCTTCAATATGATTCCATTCCAAAGCTTGCGATACTGCTACGCAAAGTTTAGACCTCGAAGCGCAACGCGACTTGGACGTCCCTCCAATGTCCTTTTCTAGTCGCTTTGGGTCTTGGTGCTACCACATCCGTCATCGCGCTTTCCCGATCCGAGTGCTTTGGGAGATCCATTTTGGGGACATCATATGGAATCCATGCACTGGCGGCAACCGCAACCCATCTCTTCACACCATTTCACACCCTGTTTCAGTCGAACTGGCCTAGAGTTGGAACTGGCCTGGAGTTCCCAGTGGCACGTCCGCCCAGGTATGGAGCACTTCAAGCTCATCCCAGGGCAGCACTTGTTTCGGCTCCACAACTCATCTGCGGATTTCATGGTGGTGATGATGAAGGGGAAGGTGCAATTTTCTGGTGGTGTGGCGTATTTCTGGCGCCTGTTCGTTAGGGGGGTGTTCGTTAAGGGGTCAGCATCCTCACCGACTGGAAGGGTACGGTCATGTTTTTGTGGCACGAGATTGGACAACTCATCTCAGACAGGTATCATTTGAATTCATTTGATTCCATTGAATCACGTGCTGCTAGAAGATCATTTCTATGGATAAACAGAAACATGTGAAGGAAGACTGACATAAACCAACCAAGACCAACTTGCCGAGTAAACCACTTCTGACCTCATCAACGTACTTGCCAAACATGCGACCCCAACGGCCACCCCAACGGTGCGTCATGCAGCAAAGCGCATGTTATTTATTTGTGGCAACAGAAGCTACTAGTAACAAGTGAGTGTATCGCTACTAGTAACAAGTGCATCGCTACTATAGTAACAAGAAGCCATTTTTGGTTCTGCCGCCAGACCTGGCAGGTCAAGGCTGGGGAGAAAGTCCTGGATGCACCACGGGTGGTCTGCGGCTTCGACCGATGCTCGGGGTAAGCAGAGTGTATTGTTTCTCCGGTTTTGTTGTGAGACGCACCCTACCCAACTCTACACAGCGTTCCCTTTCCACATGTCTAGACTGGTTCAGCTGGATACAATCCATAAGAGTTGTTTCATCCTTTTGACATCAAGCAATCCCTCGTTAAAGAGACAGGTGCCATTCCAAGGATCTGGCTATGTGGAGACCATCGCTGAAGAGCTTTGTGATGTCTACTGCATGAACTTCGAGCGTTGCCATCACCTCGCGACCGGGCGAGCATGGACCCGACGTTCCTACGGTGACACATGGGGACGCTGTCCACAAAAGTCATGGCCGCTGACGTTGGAACAAAGATGAGATTTCAATGACAAGTCTGTATGTTCTTTGGCAGACACCCTGAAAATTAAAAACAAAAAACACTGATCTGATTCCAAGGCCGTGGCGTTACTACTACTACTACTGCTGCTGCTGCTGCTACTACTACTACTACTATTACCAGTAGTCCTTTTTTAAGCCAACTTTTTTACGACATAATTAGGTGGTCAGAGACAGTGAAACAAGGAAAGGGGGCCATGGCTTCCCGGTTGTGATGGTCGGTGTGATGACTTTACCGGCCTGAAGAGGAAGGAAGAGAAAGAGAGAGAGAGAGAGAGTGAGAGAGAAGAGGAGAGAGAGGAGAGAGGGGGGAGAGAGAGGCGAGAGAGGCGAGAGAGGCGAGGCATGAGGAAGGAGAGAGGGATGCATTGTAGAAACACGAAAACCTGGTTTTGCACTTGCTTTGGGATCGTCGCAACATGAGAGTCGCTGACTAGTTCTATATAGGAGGTAAGGAGTTCCTTCTGAAATGTTCATCACTCCGTTGAGAAATGATCATGATACAGCGTCTGGAGAGTGTTGCAGTTCTGTTGATCTGAACAGATGTGTGGCATGAAACCGAACATCAACAGATGTTGTTTTCTATTAGGAGGCCATCGTTATTGGGTTGGAGGCCATGGCTATTAGGTTGGAGGCCATCGCTTTTAGGTTGATACATGAACAGATGTTCAAGTTGTGTCCCACTGGCCCAGGGTCGCACAGCTCAGAACTTGGGCATCAAATCGATCCCGTTAGGTTCACCGATGGACCGATGGACCGATACACTAGGACTTCACCAGGCCAAAGAATTCATTTGGTGACCGCTTCCAACCCCAAACAATAAACAAATAAACAAACTCCGCAATTATTATCAAATTATAGAAGATGCCCCAAGGGTCCGGGACCATCCTGAGGATGTTTTTGTCGGCCCCCAAAACCATCTGAAAGTACACTCACCTCCAAGACTGTCACAAGGTATGGGGTCATATATTTATTACAATATTCACTCACAGATTGATGTAGAAACCTCTATCCACCGAACCGAACCGGAATGGCTTCACCGTGTAGAGAACCTCCGCGCAAAGCAGCTCTCACGACGCTTCCCGTGTTGGATCGACGAATCGGTCGACGATGCAGGGACCCGTTGAAGCGGAAACATGGAGACCGATGAACAGAGAAGCGGAAACGAAACCATAGGGATCCAGTCGTATCTTCTCAGGTATGGTGATTTGAGGCACTGTTATGTAGGTTTGGAGGGTCCAAGTACCTGCTGAGAAGGTACTTGGATCCCTAGGGAAACAAAGAGAATCCGTTTCAAGGACGACGGACGAACCGTCCAAAACGATTCAGAACGATTTAAAACGGGTCTGACTGGACTTGGGACCTGAAAGGGATTTTGTGTCATTTGACGATTCATAGTCTTTGGACTTCTAGGGGAATCCAGTTGCTTTTTGTCCTTGTTCTTTTTTCAAAAGCAAAAGACACACTCGTCTTAGGTGGGCCTTTGCCCGGACGAGATCCGGACGTTCTTGACGCGTGTGCAACGCTTTCAAGAACGTTTGGAATTCAGGCACGCTGACTTTAGTCGCTGCTCATGAGTTTTCAGCCGATTGAACATTTGGGTTCCTGCCTGGCTTCGGTTTGCTGGTCGTTCTTACCCCTTTTGAATCAGAGCTTGTGGAATAAGCCGCTCATGTCATCAACCTGACGCTGTGTGGAACATGTTCAACTTCTGCATGATGACCACACTGTGGGGAGACTTGCCAAGCCTGGCAGGGCAGGGTTATGGGCATCTATAGGCTTCGTATGAGATTGCCAGTTGACTCAAATCACGGTGGAATCCAGGAGGGTATACAATGTCGATCAATGTGGTTTTTGAATGTTTTTGAAGCCTCTCCCTGTGTTTCGCAAGCTGGTAAAAGTTTTTTGTTGCTTGACCAACCCGTCCATTTAATGTAAACAATTTCAGAACCAGAATCCCTTCACTAATCACACGACAATGAAAGATCCGAAGAACCCCAACAAAACGAGTCTTACGATGTCTTACGTATACTGTAAGAGTCTTAAATATTACACAGTTGTAGCTGTAGCCACCTTCAACGGCTTCGCCTGCGCTTTTTGAATGTGTTTTCCTACTTCTCGTGTTCAGACCGCCAATCCTTCAGGCAAGGGAAGGAATGGTTCAGCGACTCGGAAGTCTTGCTACGGCACGATCCCTTCGCCGCCTGCCCCGAGCACTTCTTGAAGGGCTGCAGCACCTTTATGCAGGCCCTGTCAAATGTGGTGCGATGTCAAGCCGCGACACGGTCTACGGAACACGCGTGCATGCGGGTGTAGAACTGGAGCTTTTTTGCGGGTTGCAGGAGTTTGAGAGCAGTCGTTTTCAAAATTACCGTCATTCACTTGTACAAGGCGTTTCATGCGGGACTGTGAATCTGAGCTTTCCCTTCGATAGCAAATTTTAAATGCAATATCCTTGGATGTTCATGTGACAATCTTGTAAAACCCTGCTAAACGATACCTACGGTGTCCATATGCCAAACGCGTCCAAAGCTTGAATGAATAAATCCTATAAATAAATTGGACAACAGCTTATGGAGTTGGGGATGGGTTTTGGATCCCTTACGTGAGTGGATGTTCCGGGCACCCCACATTCCCTGCCACCTATTGTAGTCACCGCTTTGAAGCTCGGTTGGAGTGTTCTGTTGTATATAGATATGAGAATTCTGTTTGGACGCTGAGCATGGCAATGCCACTTGGTGGCCACAAGATGTGATTCAACGATTCCCGCTTGGGCAGGTCCGCTATGTCCTGCCTGGAGAGGTCATCGTACAGGAGGGCTTCTTGGCGAGGGGTTGTGACCGAGGTTCTGTGACGGTGCTTTAAGAAGATGTGTCTTGCTCGATTCCTCCCGATGGATCCACATAGATCCTGAGAAGAAGATTTCGAGACTTCTAGCTAGCGCCTTGAGTCACCAACTCATCCCCATGAAATGATGTGACTTCTTTGACGCCTTAAATCAGACGTAATTGCCACCAACCAGCTCGTTCGGACAAGGTGACTGGAGATTTTAGGACTTCAGAAAGCTGTCCATTGCAGGGACCATTAGAATGAGGTTTCGATCCATTCAGAATGCTCATGGGATAGACATGGAACTCATCCCCCCCAAAAAGGCAGGAGTCCGTCTCCGTAATATACACTGCAGTGTGCTACTTTTCCAGAAGGTCCAGATTCATGAAGATGTGCCTCAAAGACCAGCCTCAGGTTTGTGGAATCTACAAGTTTGGTTTGCCATGAACTGGCCGTCTCGTAATGTTGGTATCCCCAAATGTCAGAGTCAAAGGCCAAGGATGATGACCGCCCATGGCGGAACTTGGGCCTCTTGGATCAAGTCGAAAGACTCATCACATCAACCTCACAATGACTCCGGTTGCTGTAGGAACCGGACCTCAGGAGAGGAGGTTATAATGATGACTTTCTTTCAGTATATTGGATGTTAACATTCGTGACAAATCCACTGGCCATTCCTCAAATTAAAGAAAAACGACCCTGCGACCCCGTCGGCCTCGTCCTATCTTTTGTTGGATCTACCAGGCCGCCGGGCCGAGGCCGACGTCGACGTCCCATCGGATCGATCTTCCACGTCCGGTCCTGGGCTGAGGCGACGTGGTGGATCACGCGGTGATTCTCGCCATGGGCACCGCGCGGATCCATCGCCAGACCCGCGCGGGCCTGCGCGGCTGTCCCGATCGAACGGGAGACGACGGGGGGTTGACCGGTGGGCGGTGCAGGTGACGAAAGGAGGAAGGAAAGGAAGCCTGGGAAGTGACTTGTTGTCGTTTGCTTACATCATTTGGGGTGTGACTGCATCACTATTCCGTGAGCCGCTGGGTGCAAACGACAAAAATAAACAAACGCTTATATAACCTTACTGTAATTTTCTACCTCCAGCCAATCCACTGCTTTTTGGGGGGATGTAAAGAGAGCTAATGAATGTCAATGAAAAGGCCACAGCCGGCACCAGTCCCAGGAGAAGTTGAAGACAGCTACTTGGTGGGCAGCATCAGTGGAGCCTTCCGCTTCGCGGGCATGCAACAGCGACTGGCTACGATCCATGCCATTACGCTCTGCAAGGTGCGATGTTGAACTCTGCAAGGTGCGATGGCCTTTTGCCATTGGTTGATTGATAGAGGGGACACCCGCAAGAATACTGCGTATTGGTAATTGGTAATTATTTATCGGACCAAAGCGACCCCTGCGTTTGAATTCTGAAAGGACATTATTGAATTGGAATGGAATGGATGAAATCGTCCAAATCGATGTGAAACCCGGGATGTTTGTTTTTTTGGCTGGCTTTGGTCGATGTGGTTCCTCCGTTTGTCGTATGTTTGAAGTGGTTGTATACATCAAGACGAGTGATTTGTTTTGTGATCTAAGCAGCACCACCCAATTGCTTTTGTGGCAATGTCGCATCATGGAAGCTCCTTTCCCGCCTCCAGGTGGTGGAGCTCAAGATCAATGGGATCCTGGGATTGTTAGATAAATATCCAGACGCTTGGACTGTAGATCGGATCTGAGTTGGATGGAGTTGATTTCAGGAAGGATTTGAAAGAAGAGACCATACATAAGTTAAATCAGGTTGTTTCGTGCTAGAAAGTCATAGAGATGCTGAACCCGTATATTGCAAGTTGAAGGGAGACAAACGCCTTGGAGCAGTGTAGGGAACACCACGCACGGAGAAGTATTTATTGTACTTTCCAGCAGGAGAAACCGCTGTGCTGAAAAGCCCTTCAATCCGTCATGAACTTGAAGAAGACAAATGACTTCACCCTTTTTTGCGATTGGTTGGCGATCCCAGAAGTTGGTTGGTTTCCTTGCACTTGTTTTATAGACATGATTATATATATATATATATATATATGTACGTGTTGATCAAGCTTTTCATATCCGCTTCGTGCTTCTTGCCGGTGGTGAACAAGCACATCTGAACAACAGGCTCGGGCATTGTTCGGAAGCATCCCTCGACCAATCAGTAACTGCTCCTTCCATAGATTACCATCCAACCTAGGCACTTAGGACACTTACATGCAGTCTACTCAGTGGACCCCGTGAAGACAATGTCCCTTTTTCTCTTGTGGAGGAATCCTGCACCAGCTGTGTTTGGTGATTGCAGGTGGTGTTCAGTGTTCAGTGTTTCTTTCTTGTTCAACTGTGGGATCCTGGACTCTCCAAGTTCCTTGACAAATACATGTTGCATGACATCCTTCCCAAACAGATATGTACTATTGTAAATTTAATCTATTGTGTGTATATATTTACAAATATATTACTCGTACAGTATATATTTGTATACCCATATCCAAAACTGAAACTTTTGGAACACACATCACAACAATTGCACTGCCGGGCGCATGCCTGGCTGGTCCCGAGGATGCCTGCCAGAAGTTCCGCGAGATCGCCGAGAAGCGCTTCAAAGAACTGGCGCCGGAGCCTTTGGAGGACGACAGGGGGTGGCGACTGACGAGGTCGGGGGCCCCACCGGTGTAGTATTTGTTCTCGGGACAAGGCCGGAGGGGGGTGAACCAGGATGGTGATTTCGCACAGGTGAAACTTGGAAGCTTCTAAATATTCTAAATATAGTCTTAATCAGTGATCTATTATATGTTATCCTGCTCGATGAATCAGAAACGTGTTTCATCCATTTGCGCAGAATGACTTGACTCGAGGCAGCTTTCCGAACTGTTTCCTTTTGCTCGGGCCAAAGTCATTTGGGAGTCTGGATGCCCTGGTAGAACCAAACGACCTTGATCTAATAATGGCTGATATTCAGGGTATCCATGTTCAATAGAAAGCAGGAATGCGACGTGGTTGAGAAACGCATGGCCGGCATGGCCTATAGACTGTTTTTGAACATTTTTCAACATGGAATTTGTGATTTGTGATCTAATATTCTTTCCGCGTTGTTCCATCATGGTTCGGCTGGGTCTTGAACAAGTGGTTTAACTCGATGGGCAAAGGCAGCTTCTTCGGCAGTGCCCCCACACATCCGAGTTCCTAGATGAGGTGCGGATGCTCTCATTCACAGCTTGCAGGAGCACCCGTTCTTCAAGGGCTTTTCCAAGTCCTTTCTGAACACCTTGCGCACCAAGTGCAACTCTCAAGTCTTTTTCACGGGCGAAACCATCATCAAGCAGCTATCCTGCAGCAAGATGTCCTGTTCGTGATTGATTACTGATTAGAGAGCATAAACCTGTTGTATCCATTTGTGATTGCATTACAATATATTACTTACACCTGGAGGCAACAGGTCACCGCTTGAAACCTGTCAGCACCCAGCAACCCTCTAGAGGAAGCCAGTCGCAGAGTGCTGGTATGTGTTCTTTTCTAAAGGCCCAATGATTTCCAACGAACTCATGATTATTGTTAGGGAGGGTGCTAGAGGGTGTTTCCTCGTATTAACACCCTGGCCCTTGGTCCATCTTCGTCCCAACAAACACATTCCTTCTTTGACATGCTCTCCGTCACATGTTGTTTTCACAGACATCCATTTTTCCCACCATCTCTTCATGGCTCTTCTCCCTTTTCGGCAGGTCTCCAATGCCGGAATATGGATCCAAAGGACTCCACGCTCCCGGAGGCTCCTCCAATAGTCTGGCACAAGCCAGTCAGTCTAGACTCACCCTCAACCATCAGACTACTCAACCAACCACTCAGCATGTCCGTTGAGGCAAGGCGACACGGCAGAGAGTATGATCATCATTTCTCCCAGTTCCGTGGTGACTTTGTTCGTGGACGCGCGGAAGCTGAAGGATCTCCACGGAGGCTGCGCCGAGCTCGGTGGATGTTCGGGGCACTGCGAGGTGGATGTTCGAAGAAAGACTGGTGGATGTTCGAGGAAAAAGTGCATGGCACACTTGCAGGTGAAAAGACTGTTGCGATCCCAAAATAGTTGTTGGAACGGATATGAATGGCATGATGTGTGCCTGAAGTGTGGGATCTGCAATTCTGGCAGAATTCTGCCCGTGTGAGTCTGAACCGCAGGAGAAACTGAAGAGTCGAAGGTGAGGACTTTTGGACCAATTAAGCTTCCAAAAGTTGATCGGTGACTTCCAAACAATGGACCCTGAGTTGGAGGAAATTGTCATGTCATTCACGCAGTGAAGGTTTCGCCCCAAAAATGACGCCGCCAGGTTGTACTTTGGGTGTGCAATCCATCTTATCCGCCAAACCCGCCAAGCGCTTCGCCACGATCGTGGCCATGAACGCCTGCGTCGTGCAGAAGCTCACGCGCAAGGACCAGGGTCAGTTAGAAATGAAGCTGAATGAAACCACCTAGAGCGGAACAGCTAGAGCTGACCCTGGCTCAGTTAGAAATGGACCAGGCTCAGGGTGACCTCTGAGTGGAACAGCTAGATTTTCCACCTTCCGCCGCCGCAGTGGCAGGTACGGGAACCGGACCGAGAGCGCGGTTTATGCGGATCACTGGTTTACTAAGCCAGCAGACAACATGAAGACAAGAGCATCAACTAGCATGCCACTGAATTAACAGCCTCTTTTGTCACATTTTGCCACTCTCATCCTACCTTCTTTCGGGTCACCCAGCTGGTCTCTGCCCTGTCCTCCAAATGAACGATGGACCCCCTGGCAACGGTTCCCATGCGCTGGACGTCCGTCCCACCACCTTCAGCCCGCAGGACTGGCTGGATACCTTGAAGAGCCACGCTGAGCATCGCTTTTGGATCGGCGACTTTGTGAAGGAACAACTGCAAGTGGCCAACGAGCAGGTGACACCGAGCCGATGAATGGGAGAGTGGGGAGACAGAAGCAGGGAGAACAAACGAGCAATCGCTCTTGGTAGTTTTGGTGGAAGCACAAGTTGGATCGATCAGAATGCTTTTGGGAGAGGTAGTGAATGAGAAGCTTTGCGTGAAGCTTTGTGTTTGTTCTGTTTGAGTGCAAGGACAGGCTAATCATGGTGGGTGTTCAACCATCTTTTGCTTTTCACGGCTTTACTTGTATCATACAGAATTAATTAATACTGTAGAAGTTTGGTGTTTAGCCAGACGCTCCTGAACCCTCATATTGAGGGGGGTCCGGGGTCGAACAAATTCCTATAGGTTTTGAGGAACCGGTCAGGCTGTGAACGGAGCATTTGGCTACCAATATTGCGCACCTAGGATTAAGTAACCACCCCCTATTAATCAATCCCAGCACGACCCCCCCAATACTAAACTAGTGTAAAACCTAGATCTCCACCTTGGCATCCCCCTCATAGTATTTTTCTGGGCAGAAACCTCCCCCTGTTGATCAATCCCAGCTGCCCCGGGAAAAAACATATCGTTTACTTTACTATTTACTTGTTTCATGTTCTTTGTCTTTTGCATATGCTTCTCTACCTTCTTCTCCAACTCCCTATTCTTTACCTTCTTCATGAACTCCTCATAGTCTTCATTTTTCTTAGAGGCTGGTGTCTTCATCTCCTCATCTTCCTGATTGTCACCAATCCTTTTGATTGCTTCTCCTAACGGCTCATTCTACGAACCATCCCCCAAAAATATCTAGCAATTGTTTGTAATTTTTCCCTTTTAAAACTCTATCAACATCTTAACTTTTTCTAGCTCACAAAGAGGGTACTGTGTGAACGCCCTAAGCTGTCTCAGGTAGAACTTTGTTGTCTCAGTTCTGTGTGCCAAGCAGAGGGATTGACATGAACACATTGTTTGTTTATTTAATGTTTCTTCACGTTGTATGATTTGAGTGGCAAAACGCATAGGCACACAGGATGTATTTTCAGGATCCGAGATTTTTGTTTGTTCAAGCCCGACTCGTCCCCACACTTGCCATGACCACCACACCGAGTAAGAGAATGCGATTGGAAGTGACGAGCGGCACGCCTGAAAAGGAGGAGGCATGTTTCATGATTCAACTGTCATGGGCTGTTGTATTTTCAGTTTGTGTTTTCTATGTGGCTGCTGTGGAGAAGCACCTGTATCCGCAGTCTGGATATTTTTCCTACACTATGTACAAGTGTTTTCAATACCTATCCTATCCAGACTCGAAAAGGGAATACATAATGCGGTTCCCAGGTGCAACATGTCATGCATAGCATGCCAGTGCTGGGTGCTGAGCACTAACCCTGGGTTTGGAGTGGGCTCCTTCCTTTAAAAAAGGCAAGCAAGCAAGCAAGCAAGCAAGCAAGCAAGGAAGGAAGGAAGGAAGGAAGAACTGGGAGTCTGCTGGGAGTCTGCTGGGAGTCGCCGACATCGGTTCGATGAGAAGACACCGAAGATGTGAAGAAAAGAAAGAAAGAAAGCAAGCAGCAAACAAGCTGTAAGCATTCAAGCTGAGTGCAGCTGATTTGCCTCATTTCCTTTTTTCGTGTTCAAAGACAAATCTAGTATAATCTATTCAATACACCTGGTTTGGAGAGCTTTCCCCCACCCCAGACAGGCTTCACACAAAAGTCATGGGTGCAAATAGTCGACCCTTTCAGCTCGAACACGTCCCCTATACATGTTGGAGTATTTGTGTGTAGCTGGGTGCCCTGCCCTGCAGGATCCATGTCGCAAGGCCAATGTTGCAGTGTCATCGTTGAAAGCCTCTGCGACAGATCTTCGTGAAGAGCATGCTGCTGCCTTTAAGGCCTTGGAGCTCATGGAGCGAGAAGCAGTGCGGTAAGGGTTCACAGTTCACAGCGATTTCTGCTTGTGTCTTCTGTGGCGCTAAACGTCATGGTGTGGCATGGTCATACCGTAGTGGTGGATTGAAGCAGAAGCTTCGGGTCACCACAGGTGGGTCATGTTTTTGCTGTGTGAAGGCAGCTAAGCTGCTTGAGTGCTCTCGTTCCCAGAGCTTGGTCAGTGCAGCCGGTGCTTTATCTCCCTTTTAAAGGTGAGCAAGCGGAAACGTGATGAGATGGGTGCAGACGACGTTTGCTCATGCCATCTCTGTGTGAAGCCGTGATAGCTTTTTCAGAGCTTAAGATCTAACATGGGCTGATACTTTTCAACCTGTGATGTGAGGGTTGCCAATGCAGAAGCTTTCTCAGCTTCTTGTATTGCGATATACCAGGGAAACGATGACAACCATCGATGGGGAAAACTGCCTTGGAGTTTGAGTTTGTTGGACGACAACAACAACTGCTGCTGCTACTTTTTACTCCTGCTATTATTACTACTACTGCTACTACTACTGTTGTATCACCTAAGTTCCTGCTGCAAGTAACTTCTCGCGTTTCTCTTCTACAGCGGTGCTGTTGGCAGATCAGCTTGCACTCTGGCATGTCTCACACTTGCTTGCATCTGGCATGTCTCACATGTGCTTGCAGAGTGGGTTCAAAATGGTAGCCATCTTCAGGGTTTGCAGAAAAGATGCTCATAGAGTTGGAGGTTGCGCTGTCATTTTACTCACAATGACTCCAGTACTGGTGCACGTTCCGAGTAGTTTGGAAATTGGCTCATTGCTGCGTGTAGTCGTGTCCACGCCGGCCATGGGGTTGATCTAGGCGAAGCCTGTGTCATGCCTGAAAGAAAGCACCTCACTGAGAGCAAGATCACCCGCCTTAGCCAACTGGACCTCCATGAGCAGATACTGGCATGGGGTGTCAAAGTTCCAGCAGGCAGTGGCGACTTGATGCGACTTGCGTTGCTTTCGGAAGCTATTCGCAAGCAGCAGTCTGGTAGTGTCTTGACACAGGTGAATGTGGAGTTGCTTTGTACTGTTTCAATGTGCACTCGTTCGGGGTCCCGTTCGGGTCTCGCCCAGACTGGCCAATTTTTTGTTTTTTCATTCCAGTGTGAGGTGCAAAAGCAGTTGGTTCAGTGCCCTTGCCGCCTCCTCCATGTCCACCACCTGACTCGTTCCTTTGTAGCGGGTGCAAGCTTGACATCCCCAACAGCAACCGCAGTTGCCTCCCTGCGTGGTGTTCATCGTGCTTCGATCGCGAGCTCGCAGAGCGGCTGAAAGAGTTTGAGAGACGTTGGAGTGAAATCCGCTCCAAACAAAGCAATTTTTCCAGTCTCCGAGCTCTGGACGCGTGCCACGAGTGTTGGGAGCATGGGTACAGTCGGGCACATGTGCTGAAGGGTTGGTCTTCCATAGGTTTGAAAGCAGGTGAACCTGTGTGTCGTGAGAAGTCATCTTGCAACGGGGTGGGCAGCTGTTTCGGCAAACTGTTCCAAAGGAAGATCGCAACTATGGTGGCAAAGAAGCTGACAAAGTGTTTTCGCCTCCTCGAGGCTACAAAAGGGCGATTGAATCAGTACGTTGCAGCTCTGCCGAATGCCGTGGCCTGGTGCAGCCTTCCCATCAGTTTTGTCCAACTTGTGGTGCGAAGAATGAGGCATTCAGCAGTGTTTCCCAGGCAGTGGAGATGGGCGCCCGCCAGCAGGGCTATCGTCGCAAGGCCACCGCCTTGACCAATATGGAAGACGCATTGGACTATGAGCCCGCCGCAAAGAAACACCTTTGCAAGGTGTGGGGCGATATGCTGAGCAAAGTGGCTGGGAAAGATCCTGCTGCACCCTGCACGCCTGCTCCAGTCTCTGCAGCAGTTCCTCCCGCACCAGCTGTCCCTCAAGAACCGCCCAAGGCTTCTTCTACTTCTGCTCAGGCGCCTTGTCTGCCGGCGCCTCCTCCCGAATCATCTGAGAAGGAAAAGAAGACGGAATATGACTTAGACGTTGCTGAGGATGCATGCCAATTCATTTTGGCGCACTTCAAAGCTTCTTTGCAAGAAGAAGCAAGGCCAGCAGTGGAATTTTTCGTTGGTGAGTTGAAGAAAAAAGCCTCGAAAATAAAGCCGCTTTCCGCTTGGATGCAGAAGGAGATTGTGGCCACACGTGTGTTGATGAAGCCGCAGAGTCGGCACATGTGGCTGACTTCTTGGAAGGAGAACCGGTCTCACAGATATGTGTCAGGGCCAAAGTGAAGAAAAAACCGTCGCCGCTTTGCAGCTGTGCCATTGGGATTGGACATGTGGGGTAACTACTGGGTGGATGGGTGGATTTCATCCACGATGGACATGGAAAACCTTCACTACATTCTTCTGAACATGGCAAAGCGCAAGTTGGTGATGTGATGACAAACCTCTGCTAGGTCTGTTGGGTAGAGAATGGTTTCCGCTTTGTGCCATGGGGAAGTTGTGTGTAGTTGACACGGTTTACCTTCAAATCCTAGGTCTCCGGACATGGTCAACTGCAAGCAAGGGGTGTTGTTCCCGCTTTGCTACCGCTTGCAATGACGATGCTTCTCAGCAGCTGTGCCATTGGGGGTTGGTCATGTGGGTTAACTATTGTTTGTAATGGCGTAACTCGCTGTGCCTTGCGGCTGGGGTAACTACTGGATGGATGGGGTAAGTAACGTACCCCCTCACAGGCCCTACTCCCCCCAATAGTAAGACCCCCTCCCCGTATTCATCAATCCCACCCTCTGGCCTTATTCTTGTCTTCCAATGCTTTCATCCTGCAATCCTCTTCCAATTCTTCCCAATCAAAGAGAGTATCACCAAATGGTTTCGCAATCCCATGGTTTCCCCATTCAGTTTCCTTCTCGTCCAAATCTTCCCAATCAAACCATCATCCATCATCAGGTCCAGGTCCTCATCTCATCATCCATCAGCAGGCAATCACCTTTATTAGGGGGATGTGGTCCTCCAATACCTCCAATCTCAGACCTTGTTGACCTTGTTAGTTGACCTTGAAGGGGGGTGCCGTTGATTAATCCTACGTGCGCATTACTGTTATGATATGTATGTATGTAATATATATATATATAGAGAGAGAGCGACAGGCACCTTTGAAGAAGTAGTATTTTTTCCAGGCTTCAAGGCGGCTTTTTTCTCGTGGAGGCTCAAGAGACCATCCGGAAGTACCGCTGGCAGAAGATCAAGGAGCGCGAAGGTGCTGCGATGAAGCTTCACAGGGAGCGCACCCTGAGTCGCTACAGGCACCTGGGAACTCCCTGAGAGTCAATGGCTATCGTCGTCGTCGCCGTCGTCGTCGTCGTCGTCGAAGTAGTAGTAGTAGTCGTCGTCGTCGTCGCAGTAGTTGCTGTTGTTCTTTTTACGCACCTTTTCTTTCTTCAAGAGCTTTAGACACTTCATTGCTGTTCTATGTTTAAAGCATTTAAAGCCTTTAAAACCTTTTTCATTTTTGTTTGGACCTTTTGACGTAGCCGTTTCTCTCCATATGATTTGAACAAAAGAAACAAAATGTTTTTTTGCTTTAAAACATCCGGAACTGCTACATGCACCTGGTCACTCCTGAGTTCTCGGCTGTTTTTTCTGGAAATTGTTGGAGTAGATCACCTAGGACTCGCGTCCCTTAGGACTTTTGGCTGACGAAACAATCCTAAGTGGTTTGCCCAAACACAGGCTGACTCGGATTTGAGTCAAGAGTTCTATATATGGGAAATTCCTACTGCATGAGCGATTGCTCACCAATTTTTTGCTCAGAACTCATCACAGAGGCCATTTCTGCTGCTTAAACCTGTTCAAGGGTGTAGTGTTCAGGTGTGCTTCCGGCATCCTTTTGAATTCGCAAGAGCCACCTTTCGGTCCAGTGATGTCTTAGGCCAAAGCCACCGAGCCCGAGCTCTGTGCAGCCGGAAGGAGGGCCAGCTGTGAACCTAGTAGAGGAGGAGGAGGACGAAGTGGAACGATGGCCGTGCTTCAACGGGCAAGAGGTGGGAGAAGAAGGGGATCTCCATCTATCGTTTCCTGAGCTCAGAGCTCATCGCAAGAGATGGTCATATTGAAGTTTCAAGATCTTAAACTCAATCGCACTTGCGTCTCTTCTTTCACCGACCGCCACTGAAACCAAAAGACCTTCACCCCATTCGATGCCTCGCCGCGTTCGCCGCGTTCTTCGCCGCACCGTCCACGTCGCTGTTCTTCGGCACCCTTCGTTTCGTCCAAGCAACGTGTTCGGTGACCGTGGGCGACCTCCGAAGGCGGTGGTGCCTCACACGCGATTGCCCACCTTGGTCCCTTGCATCGAAGCCAGAGAAGATGAGGACGGCATCGGCACGGGAAACAAGCGGTACCGACCTGGCACCAACTGGGACACCGACCTGAGAGGAACATGGTGTGGGGATCCAGGACGACCACTGTCCGACTGAAAAACATGCACGAGCTTGCTAGCGATCTTCGGGGTATTTTTTGTAGACCCCATGCCCATCTATGGAACGTATGTACCTTTGATTCCGGCTTGTAATCTCCAGAACTATGCACACCATTGCACACCCAAATCCTCACAAACGCCCAAATATGCGGAAACAAAGTTGAACACCTGCCCAGACCATCCCAGACCTCTATATAGTGTGTGTGTGTGTTTCGCCCAAAAAATATGCGCGCACACACACACTTCATGGCTCAACTGAAAAGACGCTGATCATTACAGGCTTCACTCGGTGTGTTCCAACTTAACAAGATATGTTACATTTGCGAGCATTTGGCAATTTCTTTGGTCAATCAACAACACTGGTGGGCCAAATCCTCCAGAGGAGCCGGTGGCCCCAGTACGCTCCGCCTTGCGCCGCATGAGCGACGTGGCCAAGAGCCTGCGCTTCACCAGGCGCCACCGGTGCGAGGTCGGAAACCACCGAGCTGATCCCCTTCATGGGTCGGGTTTGATAACGCTCTGCAGATGGCTGCATGATTTACACATAGGCGATGCACATCTACAGATGTTCAGGGGAAACACAGGAACGATGCTGAACAGCCACAGGAATCCACTCGGCCAGGCCATGAGATGCATTCTGAGGTGACAAAGTGCGTTGACGGGGCATGTGAATGGGGGTCTTGTGGTAGGGTTGGTTTCAATTTCTGCTTTACGGGGCATTGCGGCATTGTCTACTATCCACCTTGTGAATGTCAAAAAACAATATCCATAAATGTTGTCAATTGTTCCATGCTTCAATTCTCAGATCAATGTTGGTTGAGCTGGATGTGAGAAACTTGTTTCCACCGACACACTTATTGTCCAATCATGTGAAGATGTAGGAGAAGAGTTCCAGGACGACAAAAAGAAGAGTTCTGCTAAACAGCTGAAAAGCACCATTTCGGACTTGGTGTTGGATGTGAGGGTGGCAGACTCTGGGCAGCAGTGACACAAGGGTCAGCTTGGGTCAGCTTCTGGTGTTGCATTTTATGTTCCATGAACTCCCAAGGCACTAGTCACAAGTGACCCATTGTGGCATGGAACTGGTCAGGTCACAAAGACAAGCTGTGTTGATGCTTGGAAGGTTCTTCGCTTTAATTATTAGCTGAGAACCTGTTGTGGATGGGTTTGGAGGGCCCAACCACCTTTGACGCACGCCCTTGGAGCTCTAGGGCCTTTTCAACCCTGGAACCTGAGCCCGTCCGCAGGGGCTCTGGACAACGAAGAAGCGTCCTGGGAGAGTTGCCACAACTGGATAACATGCCCACCATCAGTGCCTCGGTGGACCATGCGGAGCTTGAAGAGTTAATCCAAAGATTGAGACCCCGGGGCCTGGCCCAATGGATAGACAAAGATGTATAGAATCAACATGAAGATATATCTATGTCTATTTCATATATTTGTCCATTGAAACCGACGACCAGACCGGTGATTGGTCCGTTTTGTTTACTTGCGTCGGGAGAACCCGCCCGGTCTTCCGATTTTCGCACCCCAAGTCTTTGCTCTTAAAGGTCTGGGTGATCCGGATCAGGGAAGCTTGTTTACACTCCACTGGAATTCACATGAAAGTGGATGGCGCTCTGATTTGGATAGACCACCAAATCCGAAAACCGGGGGCTTTCACGTCCATTTGAGTTCACGAATAAGTGGAGAGTACTTGAGCTAGAGCTTCAGACAGCTTCAGACAGCTCCGACCGATCGGACCGGTCGGTGAACCGTGCACTGGCCCGGGTCGGAGTTGGGCGGCTTGGTTGGGTCTGTAGACATAGAGTCTTCTAAGCGAGCTCCCAAAGAGTCCCAAAGGGTCATCCCTTTTGGTGTCCGGCTTTCAGAGGAGGGAGCTCGACTGGAGAGCTGAAGTGACCAAATGATTCTCCTGGAGACATGGCATGTTCATGCATGTTCAGGGCTTCTGGGCTCCCGATGATGCCGAAACGCCCGTTTTCGCAGGTCGACCGAAGGACGGCCATCCTTCGAAACGGAGCCCAGGCCATAACAGCTGGCTGGATGCCCAGGCGAGCAAGCTGCAAGCAGAAGAGGTGGAGGTTTTTTTGATTGAGCTTCTGAGCTTCTTGTTTCTACTAGCTTCTTGCTACTAGTAGTAAGGCCCTTGCTCCTAGTAGCGATGCCAGGAGCCCCTAGTAGCATCCTTGCTTGGGGGGCCTTCACCACCAGTGATGTGTGCCTTTGTTAGTTTGGTGTGTATGTGTGTGCGTGCGTGACTGATGTGACACGTTCACAGTATTTGTTTGTTGTATGTTTGGATGAATGACACAAGATGGGCCCGCTGCCAGACTTATGTTTTCCACCCTAAATGAGATGTGCACGTGCACATTGTTGTCTCTCCCTTGATTGATGATCCTTGAAGGGCGTGGTGTCCAGAATGCTAGCATAACTCCCTGTGATTTACAGGCGTTTGTATTCTCCGTGTTCTCCGTAGAATGATCCACTGAAAAAACATGTAAAGAGCTGGTTTTCCATCGTGTCCAGCTAGGTCAGCTTCTATTCTTCGACTTTCTTTGTAGCGACCCCCCGAGTTCGCTGAAACTCTGGCTGTCGCTCGTCTTCTTCCAGTTGCCTAGGATGCCTTCGGCCTGATCCAGCTTCCAGACGAAAGCTCTGGGGCCTAACAGGTTGCAGCCAAAAAGTGGGCGAAATGTGGCTTGCGCCTGCACGATGTGACATGTTTGGTTGAAGGACAACATGCGAACGTAGATCTTATCTCTTTCCTGCAGGGAGGTGGAAAAAGGCTCTTTCGGTACATGTTTTCTTCACCCTCTTCCGGGTCTGAAACCAGACGGTTGCGGCGATGTTCGATGTTGCTTGCCCTGCAACGTGTGTTTCGTTGCTTGCCCAGCTGCTTGCTTAGGAGGAGCACATGACTCATGACAATCATGACATGGAAGATGTACTTGTGGCATCTTGTGGCATCGATTGCAACCAAGAACAGCTAATCAACAGGGGCCAATATGAGGACCTCACACCGCAGTCTAGCAGCTTGTTTGACCAATGCGTTAGTCTATGAGGTTCTTGCACCTTGGCCATCGGGATATTTGGCAGAGCCGGAGTCAGCCGAAAGGCCGCAAGCAACTAAGACCTCACCCACTCTACCAGACTCTACCACTCTTCTTTGTTTAGCCTTGGACATCAACATCCGATCGAAACATCCCATGTTGGCATGTTAATTCATCGCTAGAGACCACAGCACCTGCCGATGGCACGCCCTCACTGATGCCACAGGAGAGATCAAGGGGTAGACTTGGGTAGACCACTTGTGGCTGCTACATGATTTTCAGAAATTTCTTGGGGTTGGGAAGACAGATGTCAATGAACAGCTCAAAAGCAGAGTCGAGACGAGACCATGCATTCTCCCACACACACTCCCCCAGGCTACAGAATGTGCTTTGTTGCTGGGCAAGAGACTAGAGCGGGGCGTTCGGAAAAGCTTGGAAACAGCGCCATATCCCTTGTTACTCACTGAGGCAGTGTCCCATGACTCCAGGAATCGCCCTAAGGCGATGAAAAACACCCGAGGCCAAAGTCTGGAGTTGCCATTTGAGTTGATCAGAGCGGCCATTGACCAGGAGCGGCCTATGTGTTGCAACGATGATGCGCCCACCAACACAGGCCGTGGAACACCGTGACCTCCGGGTGGGAACACCTCAATGGACTCACTAAGAAAACAAACGGATTCCACCACCTCTTGCATTGTAGTTTTCATCCTGAATTTGTTTGTTACACATATATATATATATATAGATTATTGACAGTAGATATTGTTTTTGCATGAATTTCAATGACCAGGAAGAGTTGGACATATTTTGGAATGTTTTGAACTGAACTGTCAATCTCTGATTGTTTTGGCATGGTTTGGCCATGCACAGAAAACTCCATCTCATATAGAGACCTCATATAGAGACCATACCTTATCTATACTCAGAAGGACTTTGTGGGCTCAAGCGTTCAGACAAGGAGATGCCTTTTTGCCTTCACCGCATTTCGCCGCTGCATGTTTTCTTTTTTGGGAGATCGGAGAACAGCAACATGTCAAAAAGGTGTTGCAACAGGATCTTCATTCAATTTGTTGAAAAAGCTCCTAGTAGCGTCCTTGCTCCTAGTAGTAAGGCCAGGAGCCCCTAGTAGCGTTCTTGTTCCTAGTAGCGATGCCCTTTGCTCCTAGTAGCGTCAGATGTTGCTCTGTTCATTTGTTGACCAAACACGAGCGATTTGGGATTTTCGACGTGTCCGGCGCCAGGTGCGGCCCCGGCGCGGGTTCGGCGCTCCGCCAGAAGCTGAGACTGAGGATGTCCGTGGCATCAGGTGAGTTCAATGAGAAGCCTCCACTAACTGTTTTTGTACTGGAAGGACAGCTGAGAACTTGTTCCAGGATGGAGAGAAGAGTTCTTTGGAACAAGGACCCTTAACCAGCCAGCCTACGCAATGCATATGCTGAGTGTCCCTCTGGAACATCTGCAGGACACAGCTCTTACGCCACGCCACGGACCCTGAGGTCGAACGGTCCGGCGGGTCCGACTCGCTATGGAACCCGCGATTCTGCCCGTGCCAGGCACCGGGGGCGGGGTGGGTATAGTATACTTAGTAGGTGGCATGGTTCCTGTGGTTGCGGGGAAGGTATAAGCATTTAGAGGGGCTCCTAGCACATGCTCAGAAGGTATAACTATGTCGTTAGATTCCCCCCAAACTCACCCCAACCACCTCAGGATGGTGTTGGAGCCCTGGGGATAATGACATATACTGTATACAGTACAGTACATGATTCTTGCTCAGACATTTCTGGAAGCTGAGCAAGGCCACTTGTAGAACATGATCTTTCAGGTGCCTATGTTCCGCTTTCATGATTGTTTCACTGTAGTTAATTGATGTTCTGTTAATTGAATGCTGCTGATGCTGATACGGTTGATCAAATTCTCCTCCAGCACAAAGAAACCCTGATGATCATTTGTTTCTAGAGCAGATCCACGAAAGATACTAGAAATCCTTCCCGGACTGGGATGGTTTCCAGCTATCAATGTTTCCAGCTACTCCCCTGCAGATTGACATGCCAACAGAGGTTGAAGAACCTTATAGACAATCCCATAGGTACCCCAGAATGGTCCTATAAGGTCACTTAACCTCTCTTGGTGGAACCACTAAAACCACTGGGTTGGTATTCGGAACCTCCTCGAAACTGCGCTCCCAATCATCGATGTTGGTCGGCTGGATGTCTTGCGATGCAGATAGGATTGGAAGGTGGATAGGATTGCCAAGTGTTCAACATGTGCAGCAACTTCCTTGCTCAACTTCATCTCACCATGGTCATACCACCTCGTCTAAACATGGTCCAAACACGTCACCCGCACAGTGTGCTTTGCACAGTGTGCACATCGCTATTGCATCGATTTTCGACTTGGCTCGGAATTCCAAGCCTTTGATATGTCTTTCTGATTTCCACCTCAGTGGACGTCGAGGTAGACAAATGGCTGTCTTCACCGATCTTCGTGTGACTCAAAAGGGGGCAGATAAACAGGAGCGCTGGACTAAAGACATTGGATATGAGATCGGATCAGCTGGTGGTGCTTGTTGGATATTTACGTTGGAATTGTACTTTGGTGAAAGATACGTGCAGTTGTTCCATGGGTGTAAGCTTTTCAGCATTCAGCATTCATCACTGATGAGTCCGGACGAGTCTCTCTTAACAACAAAAAGCCGTGGTTATAACCCTCACTTGGACCCTCCAAGAAAAATTCGAGGCTTTTGACATCTTTTGACCCTGCAGCATCAGGGCGGACAACCAAATTTTGACCTGGCTCGGGGTTTGAGGCGCGGGACCTCCGATGCGCTGTCGCGGCCGAGGCGACGAACGGGGGAGGAGGAGGAGGGCGGTTGGATGAATGACATCAATCCCAAGGAAAGATATAAAAGATATAGCATGATATAGCATATAGTTGATTCCTGCTTCTGTTTTCTTTCCACTTTGTTCGGGGTGCTACGGCCTGAGGATGGCCCATCGATAGCCTGGAGGAGGCCCACTTGGACCAAGGAACCTGGGTCAGACTGGGCCTCAAATGAGGTTTGTTTGTTTCTCCTTTCGACGAAGTGGAGCACTAGGAAAGAGTGTGTTTGCATGGGTCATTGGGTATATCAGAAATGCTCAGATTCAGAGCTCTCACGCAGTCTTTCGGGTATTTGTTTATTTGGTTTCCTACCTAAAACGTCTGAGTCTGACCTGTTTAATATATCGAAGTATTTTCCGCCGACAGAACCAATCTGCCAACGGTGCCCTTTTCCCGATGGCCACGGTCTTGTTGTGTATAGCCGTTCAGGGAGACCTCCAAGGCAATCCCTGGGTTCGGTTCGGGAAAAAGGCCAGTCAACCCAGCCAGGGCCGATCAATTCTGGAAGGGGGGCATTGATGAATCGACAGAAGTGATTCGCAGATTCTCATGATCCTCTCTAAGTCTAGTGACTTTAGTGACTATTGCATCAGTGTTGGGTCTTGATATAGAACAGGCGCTGGATGTCAGATCACCCTTCAGAAGCTAGGGACACAAGACTTGCAGGCACATGAGGCTTAGGTGGCACAGGAGGCTCACATAACCACTTGACAATTGCTTTTGTTGGGCACTGAGGTGGATGTCTTGAAAAGCGAACTAGGAGAAACAACCCATGTTGAAGCATGTAACGGATCTGGCTGATCATCAGCACCATTGATGCTGAGAACACCTTATTGCTTCACCACCTTTTCAGTTCTTTTCGCCACCTTTAGGGACCACGGTACCATCTCCATGGAGCAGATGGGTTCCATCTACCAGTTCCATCTACCGCCGCCATCATCCTCCGGGCCCAGCCCGAGGCCCAGCCCCAGACCTTCAGAGAGGTGCCTGATCCGGTGGACACCCGCCGGGTGTTCGGTGCATTCGCGATGTGAGACCTGACGGTTAGGGGAGACCTGGGAACTACTGAGGTGGACGGTGAGAGCTTGGAGACAAAGGACCCCCCTGAAAGAAGGACAATGGACCACTTTGACCAGTCTACCATTGGTGAGGGGTCTTCTTAAATACACCACCCAAATGAAAAAGATCCAGAGTGTTGTTGTCAGAGGTGGTTGAAGTCATTGTATGACTTCGTGTGGCCGTGTGACAGGCTGTGTCTCAAGCCAGGCCTGCTAGCACCAGGAGCAGCGAGGAGGGACAGGACCGCGCAACCACACCATGGTGTGGGGGGGGGGGGCGAAAGAGACTTATAGTCGGTAGCTTCTTGCTCTTAGTAGCGTTCTTGTTACTAGTAGTAAGGCCAGGAGCCCCGATCGTAGCGTCCTTGCTCCTAGTAGCGATGCCAGGAGCCCCTAGTAGCTTCTTGCTTCTATTTGTTTGAGATGTTTGTTTCAGGGAAATGTTTGTTGTTACTTAAAGACCACAAAGCCTTTTTTACCATATGTGTAAGGATGTCAACATGATGCATCTCATTATGAATGTCCAATCGTAGTGTCGCCCGCTTCCAGGTTGCTGGAAGAGGCTATAGTTTGACCCGGATGACCCTGTTTGATCTCACACGACATCAAGATTGGACAGCACCACTTGGAATTGAACAACAAAATGTTCTTGGAATGGATGTTTACATATTCACAGTGACTGGGAGTGCTGCAGTGATCCATTCCACTGACTAAACAGCCCCGCAGCTTGCAGGATGGCTTGTCAGCTGGTGGAAAGCTGAGAGGAACCGAATGCTTCGCACGTTCTTCGGGACCGGACCAATCGACGACGCACCGAGGCATGGGATCTGTAAACAACAGCATGCCTTCGTGATTCGTCCTGTCCGAACGGACACCTGTAAAGAGAAGCAGTCAGTAAACAACCAAATCACCCCAGGCCCATGTGTGTTTTTTCAATGTTTGAACAAGGCCTGCCACCTATCTATCATCCACGGGAATAGAGTCTATGCCACCTCCGCACCGGGCTCCGTCCGTACTGCGACCCCCGCACCCGGTAAGCCAACCACCTTGGAAACGGAGGTCGTTGGAGCCATAGGGTATTGTCACCTGCAGAAAGATCCAACAAGTATGCATCCCATGAGATCAAGACTGAAGACGAGCTAGCTTTGAGGAGTCTTACTATTGGTGGAATGATTGGGACATATCGGGAGTATATACTTTACTAGTACATATGCTAGTCCATGTCGCCGCGACCTGCTTCGACCTGTCGCCGGTTTTGAGGCTCCGAACGGCCGGTGGGCGGCCAGCGGCCCACGGAACGCCCCTCAGAGGTGGCCGTGGTTCTCCGGGAGTGCGTCGATGGAGCTCCTGATGCTTTGGAGTTCAAAGCTTTGTGTTATACTAGATAATTCTAATTAAATTCTTCTTGTTACTACTAGTAAGGCACTTGTTACTACTAGCGTGGCACTTGTTACTAGTAGCGATCCGTGTTTAATTAGTAGTGAGGCCAGGAGCCTACGTTCGGGCACACATCGGCCCTCTTTGCTACTTGCTATTAGCGTGAGGAATCGAGTGAGGAGTTTTTTGTGGAAGACATTGGAAGGTGAGCATGGTGTTTTGAGGGCAAAGGCTTCTTGGCACGTGGGGAATTTTGCACAATCCCTTGGCCTTCCATTGATTTTCTCAACAGGAGAGGTAAGAGTCAAGTGGTTTCCCTGTAACAGTCCACCTGACTTTCTTCTGCAGACATGTTTCGGGTCTCGGTCCACATATAAATCACATAGACAACATCCTGGATCCCTTCTCATGCGGCTTGTTTTTTTATAATGGTGTGCTTACGAATTGGGGGAAACCCAGTGTTCTATTCTTGGGGAGAAAACGCTCCGATCTCCGAGGGCAGGACATCCACAGACGCAGTCCGGTGCCAGTGGTGAGAAACGGAGGTGCCAGCCAGGTGAAACCAGAAGATTTGCGTCCATCACTCCTTGAAGATTTGGCAAAAACGTTTCTGTTTTTTTTCTGGTTCCATGGCATATATATACTTTGCCGTTGGTTTATTGATGTTGAAAATCTTCTATCACTATGACTCTACTTTGGATAGATACATCGGGGCAAAAGGCCCCAGGACTTGTACTAATATATACTACTAGGACCACCATCTACTACTACTACTACTACTACCACTACCTACTACTACTACTACTACTACTACTACTACTACTACTACTACTACT